GCGACGTTTGACGCGCCTTATAATTGTGTACTTGGGTTCATCAAATGTGTCGCTTTTAATATAACTTTTTAGTCTCGAAATTATAAAATATGTTAAAAATAGCATCATATTTTTCATCTTGAATATATTAGGTGTTTTGCTTAATTTTGGGATTTTGGATTTTAATACTGGGATATCTAGTTGTGTTATTGTAAATACTTTAAATAATATTTTATGTGTATATTTAATTAGTGTGTTAATTTAATTAATTTAATAGTGCCACACACACACACACACACACACATACACACATTAGAAATAATTTCAGAATGTCAAGTACTATAATAGAAGATTTTAGGATTTCAAGAGATAAAAATTTGTAAGTATTAAAAATTCTTTGTTTCTAAACATTGGACTATTAATATATTCAATCTGCCAATTCCGATTTAGAATCGAGTCGAGTGCTTTTTTTCCTTATATTTATAATTCAAACAGAAAAGACATAACTCGATAGAATTCGAAGTCAGCAAAATTCAATACACTTTATCTTTTCCCTTAGACGCCTAAGAAATATCCGAAACATTTCCTATGGAAGTACTCACGACGCCAGACAGGACATTCTTCGGATGTTTTAAAGGCTAGTATTCAGCTACCATTTTTTTTCCTCAGGACATCCAAAGTATATTCCGGGATAAAGTTTCGATATCATAGGATATCCCCAATGTTTTTAGGATTTCCGGAGGATGTTATTGTGTTATCTAGATATTATTTATTATTTATTGTTTAAACTATTTCAATCAAAATATTTTCCATCGCTTGCTGCAACCTTCTTCCACCTTTTTGGCAACTAATGTATTCCATGTATTAGAATAGAAAAAATTTCTTTCTTTAAAAGCAATCCACTCATCGTCAACCCTCAAAATTAATCGAAACACCAAATATTCTCATACACTTTCACAACTTCCAAGATATTCGCTCACGATTAATCTCATCGAATTTTCTCTGACGACTTGCTTCAACACTTGAATGTGCGAGAAAACATGTAAGAAAAGATATATCTCTTTCTTTACCTGTTTCACAACAAGTCCAAGGCCCATCTCAATCAACAAAGAACAATTTTACATTATAGATTCTCTTCTATATACATATTCTCAATGTCTTCCTTCGATATAATTCCTAGCAGTATTTTGAAAAGCATAAACATTGCAAGAACTTTCGAGTTATTGCATGTCAATTTTGCAACCGTTCGGAATATAACGGAGCGCGACTGGCCTATCAATTTTTAAAGCTCGCATTAATAAATCCAATTGTGGAGCATCACGTCTCGTAATTTATTCATTGTTCTCCCCAGAAGCTGTTGCGATCGCTGATGGCTGATCGATATGGCGTTGCTTCCAGCTGACCTATCTCGGCCCGCATTGTGTGATTTATTCATTGGACTTGTGTTCTTTTTGTCGCGGTAATCTAAGTTTAAATTTTGATTTTCCGTTAATTCCGCAAATTCCGTCAAATTAGGAGAATCCGCGGAGAATGCAGAAATATAACATTGCACAAGTTGTACAATGTTATACGGAAAAGCGTCTCAACTAAATAGGGATCAAATGAAAACTTATGATTTATAAACGATATCGTTCTTGTCGTGGTCGAAAACATTCGTTTGAACTCGGTTGAGATAATCAAGAGAGAGAGAGAGAGAGAGAGAGAGAGAGAGAGAGAGAGAGAGAGAGAGAGAGAGAGAGAGAGAGAGAGAAAGAGAGAGAGAGAGAGAGAGAGCGCGCAGTCGACTGAATACATAAATTTCCTACAGGAATCTTTCCATTTCTGTCCAGTTTTCGTCTCGTCGTCAAATAGCAAGAAACAAACAAAAGCAAAAAAAATAAAAGCAAATTACACAAACCGAGTTTCTTATCCGAGTATAATGTTGTACTTCAAGATTCTCCATTCCTTCCTGATGGTACCTGCGCAATCAACGTAGAACTAAAACTTTGTCTTGAAGATTTATAATGTTATTATTACGTTTCACACGTCAAACCACGGATTACATGTGCACTCTTTTTTCCGCGGTTCTCTCGATAGGTAGATAGGTAGGAGGCAAGCAGGCAGGCAGACAGGCAGGTAGGTAGATAGGTAGGTAGGTGAGCGGCCTCTGAGAGTTCGCGGAGGCCTGATTTACCGATTTACTGGCTTCGAGCTTCCCTCGCCTTAAAGGATAACAAGGTATCGATTGTTCTTGCGCTCGCTTGACGCGGCGGCCAAAAAATAAACTAAGATTCGACTATAAGGCCCGCTCCCGAGGCCGATTGGGCCCATATTTGGCCCGATTCGGGCATAGCCATACGCAGACGTGCGCGCATGTGCATCCGTCGAATCGGGTGGGCGAGTCGACAAGCAACGTTCGGCCCTTGTAATAACCGCTTGAGCTCGTATTCTCGCCGCCATCGAGAGAGAGAGAGAGAGAGAGAGAGAGAGAGAGAGAGAGAGAGAGAGAGACATTTTTTTTAATATGGTAAATCCGGAATAGATGGGCATAGTTTTAATTTGAAATAACATATCTGCAATAAATGATCAATAACACATACATTAACACACTCAGTAGAGGATAATATTTAAGGTACAGAAAAATTTTTGTGAAATAAAATTCATGGGACGCCAATAATAACGAAATATTAAAAATATTCTGTGATGGATAGATGGTCATACGTAAAGGGATAATTGGTCATGCCTATAATAATGTAGAAATTTGTTTATCTTTATTTATTTTTTTTAGTATTTTACATCCTTTTATTAATTATTAATCTTTTTTCAATTCCTTTATTAATTATTAATAAAATAAAACATTTCCACAAGTTTCTTATAGAAACCAAGGACAACATTGGAGAGGAGCTTGAAAAGTGGCAACACAGAAAAAGACCCTATGGTAAAACATTGGTTTTTAAAGAGAGAAGAGAGAGAAAAATCTATTCGGCATCTTCAAACGAAACAAGAAGCTGTGTAAAATGTACTGAAATTTTTAATGTTAGGCACTCAGGGAAAAATGATAGTCGAATAGATATCGGATTGACGTCTTTTATATGTGTAAAGTATCTAGAAAACGTCGATCCGATGTCCATTGCTTGCTATTTCTCGCTGAGTAGGCTGCCCATCTAACCCTGATAAAAATGAACCTATCCCGTTTGGAGAGTTCGCGTAAAGATGCGCGTGAAACGTAGTCTCGATGACGAATTTTAAGGTTAAGTACGCAAATACGATGGTTTTTAGCCGTTTAAGCCCAGGTCTAATGTTGTAACTCAAAATAAACCTTATTCGCAAGGTGTTTTTCCGACTTGTGAAACACTTTGGAGGTTAATATTATAGAAACATAAAACACTTATTTATTCACAATAACAGTGTTTTTGCACATCAGGAAGAGACACACTTACTTGTGGTATATCCGACTCACAACTGACCGATCAGCACTGACGCCTAGCATATATTAACAAAATTATAGCAATTGACCATCTATCCCTTATATCCATCTATCCCAGGCTTATCCTATTCTTGTTTGTGGCGAAGTGTTTTGAATTAGAAAACACCTGATGAACTCGAATGTTCCATTGCGTCTGAAAAAAGAGAGGGCAGGTTCTCGAAAGTACTTGTAAAAAGTACTGATATCATAACGTGATAAAATTAATGCAACTGCATTCTCGAGTACTAACACTTTGTCACAATTTTCATATGAATTTCATAATGAGACCTTTCCGGGAGGCGAGACAAGGGCGATATCGCTTTGCTTTGATCGCCACTTCAGCTTTACCTTTTTCTTCGGAGTCTTCTCGTTCTTTAATAGGGCTGCGGTAGAAAGAGGGAAAGAGAGAGAGAGAGAGAGAGAGAGAGTGAGAGAGAGCGCTCCTCGACGTCGGCGCTGCTTTCAACCTCCTCTCTTCTTGTCGTTGACGTCGAATCGGGCGCAACAAGTGTATGCAAAAGTATATGCAAAATGACTGGCGCTAATACAAGCCGAGAGTGAAATTGAATGAACGTCAGCGTCGATAATACGAATGGCGATATCTCCGCGGCGTGTACGCGCGCGACGTCGGTCGCTAACTTCGGCCGTGATCGGACTCGTCGTCAAGTATAAACATCATACTACGACCACGACGACATCGTCCTCGTGAATTTCCTGTTTTCAATTTGTCTGCTTTATGCTCCTGTTTTCCGATAACGCGGTCATGTACGCCGAAGTCCGCCAAATAAGGAATGCAGGAAGGTCGCCTTGGATGGGCGACATAACATGAGTATGCCGCTCGTCGAATATCGAGCCGGAAAATCAGGAAGCGTTCTCGCTCTCCCCTCCCTCCTCTTCTCAATATTCTCCCAATGTTCGATATAAGATAGCAGGTTTCCTAACGAGCGATATTATGGGATGACGGAAGGCTAATTTAATATCAGCTTGACCCGCTTTTGTGAGTTCTGCGTTTGCGGGCTAAACTTTCGCAAAGGATGAGTCGAGCGCGATTATCACTGAGAGATTCGCAAATCAATTTTGACTTTTGATTAATTTTGATAGAAGATACTACAATTACCGGGATTACAAATGCAGACGATTTAATACACAGTGGCGTCGCATGATTGTTTTATACGTCCGATACGCATAAATTTGCAAAGTAAATCATGACATCGCAATATATCTTTATCCCTTAACTGATCAAAGGGACCATCTATTTTGCAGCGATTTAATTTGAAGCCTCATTGAATATTCCAGATTATCTCGCTGTGAAACGATTGTTATATACGCGGACGTCCGCGCCGCACTTCCTACATCTTCTCTCCGTGGAAATTAATTCTAAATAAATAATAAATTATGCACGTAATGCTCTGTAAAATATTAATTCGCTTGCTGTTGCATTTTAATTGCATCGGCGGTGTCATTAACCAAATCGATGCGTAAACGTATCCTGCGAATTTGCATTTCCGACCACTGTATACGTAATAATAGCCGGGCTATTAGCGTTGCGCGCGATTTTGTTCCTCCGCTGTTCGCGATGTTCGCCAACTTCAGCGACATGTCCCGACTGATTCAGCGCGAGCTGACCGTTATGACTGTATCCCTGGCGCTTTTGACGCTTCTCGCCGCGGCGGTCGACGGCGACCTGCTCGAAAAGTACGCGAGCGCACCCGGCAACGTGTACCACGGTAGGTGAGTGCATTCGCGCCGCGCGATCGCCGAAATTCCGACTCGAGGTCGAGGTTCTCGCTGGGCGAGTCGCGCGTCCTCAAGATGTTTACGACTGGAAAGATTAAAAATAATAAAGAAAAAAATACTGGCACGAAACGGCGATATTTCCAAGACGGAGCGCGCGAGCAAGATTTATGGAGCGGCGAGTCGTGGAAAATTTCGCCGTGGACCGTCGAGTGTCACAGCTCCGCGCGCGTCGCGTTCGTTCCCGTCGCCGCCGCCGCCGCCGCCGCCGTCGCTGACGTAATTGTAGCTCGCGCGCGCCACCGCTTCAGGTACACTCGAGATATTCACGGGCCGGAGCTCCTGATCCCGCGGCGAGTGCTCGAGGACGGCCGCTTCAGCACGTATTCCCTGCCGAATTTCTATAACCGCCGGGAGATCGGCGAGCGCGGCAAGAGGTCCCCCGGGACGACCGATAAATTGCACCTGGTGCTACCCTTCAACGGGATCGATCACCACGTGGAGCTCAGCCCGTACCATGAATTCATCTCGCCCGACATGCTGCTGGAGACACGGGGCGCCGGGATCGGCACTAATCTCGACGAGGGCTTGAGATTCAGCCGGCCGTCCGACCGGCAATGCCACTATCGCGGCACCGTTCGGGGCCACGACAATTTCAGGGCGGCTCTGTCTCTGTGCGACGGTGTGGTTAGTATGTAGCGTATATACGAGTCTCTCTCTCTCTCTCTCTCTCTCTCTCTCTCTCTCTCGCTCTCCCAGCGCTCCGTGTAACTCTGCTGCCCTGAAGAGGCTGCTGTTAACGAACCGAGCGAAGAATCTCGGGCACGTTTGCGCTTTGTCGCTTTGTTGGCACGGCGGGGCAGGGCGGGCGGGGGGGAGGAGGGGGGTGCCCTTTGCCGGGGAGCGCGCTGCTAATTAGCTTCTATGCGCCGCGCTGGCGGCGCCCACAGGGCGTCTCACGCCCGCGCGCGGCGTTATCCGCGCGCTCGTGTGTGATACGCGCGCGAGCGCCGCGGAGGATAATCGTGCACACGAATATCGATATGTCGATACCGCCGGAAGAAAGAGGAGAGACGATCGCATCTCTCTCTCTCTCTCTCTCTCTCTCTCTCTCTCTCTCTCTCTCTCTCTTTTCGCCACATCGCTCTTCGCGAAGAGCGGTTCGCCTCTCCTCGCGCGCGAAACCGCCGCGGCCGAGAGCCGGTCGATGCGGCGGTGACTTCCGAGTCGCCGGTCGGATTTCGTTGATCCCTACGCGCGCGGTTCGCACGGATTGATATTAATTCGGGCGAGTATTTGTTGGCGGAGAGAGGTAGAGCAGAATTTCCAAGTGGCTCCGAGCGCGCTGGCTGTTGCACGTAATGCGTATTCCGCGGATTCCTCGGGGAAGTTAGCGCTAACGAAGCGAGTGAGGAGAATTGCGGGAGAGCGCGAGAGAGCGCAGATACCCGCGGAGACCGAAACATTTCTGGATCTCCCCGTCGAAATTCGATGGGAACACACATCGCGCGCTCGTGCGACGTTCTCTTCCTGAGATGGAGACGGAGAGAGAAACAGAGAGAGAGAGAGAGAGAGAGAGAGAGAGAGAGAGAGAGAGAGAGAGAGAGAGAGAGAGAAAGAGGGAGAGAGAGACAACGCTCGCCCGCGCGTTTTATTACGCCTGCGCTTGTAATATCGAGCAGAATGCGCGCGTTCCGCGCGCTCGAGAGAGTTCGTGTTGTAATTGAAATTTATAACAAAACCTCTCGACGAAGAGAGAGAGAGAGAGAGAGAGAGAGAGAGAGAGAGAGAGAGAGAGAGAGAGGGGGAGAGAAAGAATGAGACGAACATCAGGCTATTTCGGTAGCCGCTCGTGACTTCCTGAGGAGCGCTGGACGTTCCCAGCAGCCGGCGCTTGAAAAGGAGGCGGTCGTCGACGCGTCGCAAGTCGTCCTCCATCTCTTGACGTGGAAATATTCGTTTTTCGCGAGAATCGCCGTGAAAATTCTCAACTCCGCGACGCGAAGCCCGAGGAGTCGCGGATCGGGCGAGAAGAGCGGCGCGCTCGCCGGCCGGAAGCGCGCCGCGGCGGCCGAGTGGGTGCGGTGCCGCCGCCTTCTTTTCAATCCGAAATTTACGACCGGCATAGGCGCGCCGTCGATGACATCGCGCATGCAAATGCGAGTCATATCAATATGCGCGCCGCCAAGTGCGTAATAAGAGACTCGCTCGGCCGCCGAGCGGACCGCAAACGCGCCGCGGCGCGGCGCGACGCGGCGCGAAACGCGCGCGTAACACGCCGACACTCGATCGGCGCGCCGACGATGCAGGCAATGTTTATTGCGGTGCGCTGCGCTCGGATTGCACCGCGGATTCGACATCGCGCTTTCCTGCCGCATCGCTGAGCACCGCGTCTACGTAGGAATGACGCGAGCGAGCGAGTCGGTCTCCGCGGGCTTCTTTTGCTCTCCCCCCCCCCTCCCCCCGTGCTCTCGCGAAGCCGGCTCGGCCGCGAAGGAAGAGAAGTCGCTCAAAGGGTACGACAAGGTAATCCGATTAATTAATTCCGCTCGATCCGCCGTGACTCGTGTTGCACGCGAGCCCGCCGAGCGGTCGCGCCGGGCGCATGCGCGGTTTACGCTTACGCGGCAGCGACTCGAAAGTAGTTCCCCGCGGCGCGACTTATTACTTCACGAGTACAAGGCGGGCGATCGCGCTGATAAACCGCAAAGCTGAGCGCGGGGCGAACGGGCCGGCTAATTGATTCTATTAGGCGCAGAGTCGCGTAGCGATCGCCGTCCGCCTCCGAAATGTCATTCGCTCGGCCTTTCGAGCGCCGAAGAGCCGCGGCCGCGCCGGTTTTCGTCCGATGTTTCCTTCGGTCGGTTGCAGCGCATCATATCGGAGTGGATTAAAGCGAGGTATCTCCCGATGGTGAACGCGGCGTTTACGAGCCGCGTGTGAAAGGTTGAAATCCAATAAGCCGGCCGGCTGGAGTCTCCTGTTGAGTCGCTCGCTCGTGAATCTCCCGCGAGCGACGCGCGGAAGCGACGAGCAGCCGCCGCGGTATAAATTTGAAACAGGTGCGGTTTTGCCGACGTTGAGAGCGCTCGGCCCGGCGCACAATGGGGCCAGATGACATTTTTTGGCTCAAAATTCTTTGGAGACCTGAATTTCCAACCGATCATCGACATCAGTGGATGAGGTTGATCCTGAATAAATTCCAAAGAGATCTGTCTAGCCGAAATTTTGAAAAAATTATCGATTCAGGGTTCATGGGTTTAGGGTTTGCCCTCAAAGTTTATCGTTTAAAGTACAGTGTCTTGGGTTCGACCTCAATGGGCTCGAGCCTATGAATCACCCTTTTAGAAAACTTAGAATTTCAAAGCTCATCATTTCAGCCCACATTAAGAAAGAATTAAGGATTAAAATCCGTCGGTTTTGTACTTAACGAGTAATATCTATACTTGATATTTTTGTATTTTGGATATGTGAGTTTTGGGTTAATGCGTCACTGGTTCAAGATCGATAAATCTCGAGGTGTCTGTTGATTGGTTTCATAGTTTCAATCCGCTGAATACGCTATTAGATAGAAATAAGTGTCGGATAATGAGTATTTCACAAGTTTCTCGCGTTTAACGATAATTTTTTCTCTTTTGGGGCTAGTAATTCGAGGAAAAAATTTCCTTTTTTAATTTTGGCAGGACAGATCTCTTCGGAATTGATTCAGGATCAACCTTATTCATTGGTGTCGATGATCGGTTGAAAATTCAGGTCTCTAGAGAATTTTGAACTAAAAAATGTCATCTGGCCTCACTGTGCGGCGATCGGAATCTCGCGGATCGCGCCGCGGTGAACCTGGCAAGCAACTTGATAAAAAAAAAAATTCCCAATACGGTTCGATTGTACTTCCTTTGTACCTGTTTGTACCACTTTTTGTTTCGTTTGTATCTCGAAGAATAAAAAGATAGGGGAAGGGGGAAAAATAGCCAGCAAGCAAGCATAAGATATCGCAAAACGGTCAACGCCATTCGAAAGAGAATCGTTTGTACCTGTTTGTACCTCTCTTCAAATCTTTGGTACCTCAAAGGAACCGGAAGTACAGGATGTTTAAAAAACGTCCAAGAAGTACTTTCGCTCATTTTCGAGATATCGCAAAATGGCGAACGCCATTCGAAAAAGAGATTATTTGTAGAGAAACCGAAAGTACAGGATGTTCAAAATATGTCGGAAAGTTATTTTTGTACTTCCGGTCCCTTTGAAATACAAACGATTTGAAGAGAGGTGTAAACGGGTACAAACGATTCTCTTTCGAACGGCATTGGCCGTTTTGAGCTATCTCAAAAATTAGCGAAAGTATCTCTTGGATGATTTTTGAAAACTCTGTACTTCCGGTTCCTTTGAGGTACAAACGATTTGAAGGAAGATACGAACGGGTACAAACGATTCTCTTTCGGATGGCGTTGGTCGTTTTCAGATATCTTATACTTGTTTGCTGCCTATTTTTCCCCTTCGCCCTGTCTCTTTACTCTTTGAGGTTACAAACGAAACAAAAGGTGGCACAAACAAGTACAAACGAAGTACAATCGAACCGTGTTGAGAATTTTTTTTTATTGTTGTTTGCCAGGTTCACATCAGTGCGGATCGCGACTTCCCATCGGCCGGGGCCGATGAGTTGCGTTGCAAATATGGCGCGCGGCCGGTACTTTATTCCCAAGGTTGGAAAAGTTAATTTGTAAAAGTATCTAGTTACAGTTACAGTTTTTTCACTGAAAAAGTAACTAGTTACAGTTACAAATTACTGACCTTCAAAAATGACATGTTACAGTTGTAGTTATTCAGAAAATAACGAGTCGTTACTTTTCAGTTACATTTTTACAATAATTGTGCTATTATTTTAAATTTCGTAATTGTGTAAATTCCTTCAATTTTATATAAAAGTAATTTGTTGATTATATATATATATATATATATATATTATATAATATATTATATTATATTATATATTATATTATATATATATTCCTCACATTGTATATAATTTTTACAAATTAGATTCATTAATTTAAATAAGCAATTTATATTTATTCATTAAGACTATTAATAACAATTATAAGAAAATGAATGAATTTGGTGAGGATAATAAATACTAAAAGTACTAAAAATTATCTTAACATCAAAAATTAGATCTTTTCACTAAAAAATATATTGATATTTTATAAATAAAGACTTACATTTGTATGTTTCCTTAAATTTGCAGTCGAAGTCCTACTTGTGTGAGTAATTTTTTTGCCAGCGCAAATTTTGCAGAGAAATGCTTGATTGTCCTCGTTTCCAAATTTTTGTTGTAACTCGAATATTCCTGCATATGTTGGCTATGGCATTCTACAATCCTTCTCCGAAGATTGAGATGTTTTATCCATTGCTTGAATTTTTTATATAACTGGAACTACGTAACGCACTTCACGCTGAACGCAAATTATGTTAATAAATTAGGACTGGCGATGCGTGACAGAAATGTTCAATAGGCGTGCCATTTTTTTTTTAAAGAAATACAGGTTGCGTTCGGAAAGAAGACTATCAGCGTTATTGCGTCATTTTAGATTGCATTGTTTTACATCTAATGAACGATAAAGATAAATGACCCAATAGCACATTTTCCAAATGCAGCCAGAATAACTGCTTATTATCATTGCTTATTAACAAGTATCGCTCGTCGCGTTATCATGCTGCTCTGCCAGAAGCTTAAATTTGAAATACATAAAGTAACTGTTAAAGTAACTATTACATTAGTTACCAGTTATCAAACAAGTGTAACTAAGTGAAGTTACAGTTACAGATGACAAAAAAACGGGACGAAGTTAAGTTATAGTTACCAAAAAAAAAAAAAAACAATAACTGTAACTGTAACTTCGTTACAAGTAATGATCTACTTTTCAACCCTGCTTATTCCCCGTATCACTATTATTATCGTCAACGTGACGCACCTCTCTCGCATGTGCGTGCGTGCTCGCGCGCAGGCTGGTTACGTGCAAACTAATCACGGACGGTACTTCATCGAGCCAGTCTATCAGGCCGAACCCGAAGCGGACGGCCGGCACGTTCATGTGGCTTACAAGCGAGACGCGCCGCACGAGAAGGAGAGCTCGCCGGTCGGCGGCGCCGTGATGACGAAGAGGCACTGCGGGACTAGCGGTTAGTAATCGCATCACCCTTAGTTATGGTTAACAATCGACAAAAAAGAAAAAAAAACGAGGAAAGTAGTCGCGCTGAACTTTCCGACACCCGGCATCCATTTCCGAACATGACACGCCGGCCGGACCGCGCGGCGCGTTTTGGTTGTTGATACCTCAGCATATATTATTTTCATATCTCGCATTAATTCGAGACACGCGCGGCGCAGTCTCCCCACAGCTCCCGCGCCGTAGATATTTATTATGCGCAATAACGCGGGAGAGAATCTCGGGGTAGTTGCGAGCGCAAGTGACAAATAGCGGCGCGTAGTTTGCGGAAGCTCATTCCGGCTGCTTTAACAGACAACTGGGAGTCGGCGTGGGCGGAGCAGCTGGCTAAAAGGCAGAAGCGGCTAATGGAAAATAATTCTGTCGGCGCGAAGCGCGACGCCGTCGTGTCCGCCGGCACGCACAGCGTGCACCGTTACATCGAGGTCGGATTGGTCGCCGATCGGCGGTTCCTCGACTTTCACAACAGCACCGATTACGAGCAGTACCTGTTGACGATCATGAATATGGTGTCGGACTATTACCACGATAGCTCCGTGGGAAACCAGATAGACGTCGTCTTGGTGCGCGTGATATACCTGGAGAAGGAAAAGGAGGAGGTAATGCGTGGTGCAGAAAGTTGCAGGGGGTGCTATTCGGAGACAAGACGAGCTTACTTTAGTCGTGGTCTAACAATAGCGTAACGAGAGACTGTACGACGTTTGTATTCAGACATGCTTTTTCATGACTTAGTCTTACGTTAGACTCAGCTTAAATTGAAACTACCTGTAAAGATAGTCTAAGGTCGGTTTAATCTTTTAATTGCTACAAGTGTGTACAGCGTGAGGCACCAAAATAACTTTGAAAATGCACAAGATAGAAAAAGACATTAAATGCAGAAGTTGTAGGGTTTTAAGTGACGCATCATATAGCAATACTAGCATGACCTTGAACAATGTCATCAGGGTCATACGGGAAGGTCACTTTGAATTTTTGCAATGGAAAACCTCATTTTTTATTATATAATTTTTCTCTACCAATTAATGTGAACAACTTTTGTTTGAAACATTTTTTTATTTGCTTAATATTTTTTGAGATATTTAAGGGAAACTCGGTAACTTTTTCAGTATTTGGCTTACGATATCTCGGTATCTATTTATCGAAAGAAAAAGTGGTACTAGATTTTTTTACTCTATTAAGTTTCAAGAATACATTGTTACAATAGTATCCTAACTTTTGTTAACATGATGATTCGGAAATTTTCGAAGGTCATCAAATAACACATTTTTTAGCAAAATAGAGTAAAAAAGTCTGATACTACTTTCTCTTTCGACAAATAGCTACCGAGACAAAGATCGAAAAAGTTACCAAGTTTTTCTTGAATATCTCAAAAAATATTTGGCAAATAAAAGAATGTTTTAAATAAAAGTTGTTCGAATTAATTATACAAAAGTTATATAACAAAAAAGGGGATTTCTATTTAAAATATTCAAGGTGACCTTTTTGTAATCTTGATTATTCAAAGTCATATTAATATTGCTATGCGATGCGTCATTTAAAATCTTACAACTTTTGTACTTAACATTTTTTTATCTTGCATATTTTCGAAGTTATTCAGACGGCCTATTATCGGTGCCTCACTCTATATACATATATTGATGTTATCAATAATTTCCTTTCAACATTTTTATTCAGTCTTATTCGTGTTCGTATCTACACATTTTTCTCGATAATTTTCTTTTTTTAAGTATCGAGTCCGTCAGGAAACTTTTCTCTTCTGTGGTCCAATTTTTAGTTTTTCTATTTTGCTTCGTTTTATTTGATGTACCCATTGAGAATAATTTTGTGACAAATTGGAGAAAAATTTGGTCCTATTCGGAGACAAAACAAGCTTGGTTTAGTTGTAGACCAATATTAATATGAAAAGAGACTAACGACATTTGTGTATTCAGAGACGCTTTTTGACGACTTAGTCTTGTGTTAAACCTAGCTTAAATTGAAACTACCTGTAGTCTAAGGTTGATTTAACCTTTTAACTACTACATATATACGCTCTGACATATCCATTGATGTCATCAAAAATTTTCTTCCAACATTCTTATTCAGCCTCATTCGTGCTCGTCCGTACATCTTTTCTCTACAATGTTCTTTTTTTTAATATCGAATTTATCGACGGAACTTTTCTCCTCTATACTCCAACTAGTCTTGCTACTTTGCTTTATTTTATTTGATGTATCTACTGAGAATAATTTTTTTGTCACGTAAAAAGAAAGTGTCTCAAAGTATATATGCGAACCTCAAAAGTCGCGCCTTGACAATTTCTTGGTGATTGCATTCCATTAGCTACGAAGTACCTGAAGATAAACTTAAAACGATTAAATATAAGGTCTTAATCCGGATAACAAATTCAAATCATTTCGGAAAGATGTCTCTGAATAACATAGCCTTAGTTCATCGTCAGTCCATGAATAGGCTAGACTACTGAAGGACTAAAACTAAACTAGGACTAAAGTGAGATTATTACGATTCTAAACATTGTCTCTGAATATCCAGGATGTACATTGTTGAGATGATGTTCTTGTGCGAGCTTTGTCACTGGTGTGGTACCTTTTATAATTTTTTTTATTTGCTTCTTTTTTTGTATTTTATAGTTGTGTACGCATTTGAAATCTAACATTTTCTTCTCAACTTTGGCAAGCCTCGTTTCCTCTTGAATTCTTTAATTTTTCAGAGGCTTATCCCTCAACCTTTAATTTTCCAGAAATGTATCTTTTGTCCTTTAATCTTTAAGGAGTTTGTTTTTACTTGTAATTTTTCATCTTGTGCGTGCTAGGGACTTGTTTCTTTAGGCCTCTCAAACCACAAGTTTTTGCTCCGAATTTGAGGAGAAAATATACTTGGCGTAGTATCTCTTGTATCTTGCTGTGTAGTTGAGCGTGAAACAATACTGACGCGCAGATAGATTTGCTCATTAGCCCGGCCGCCGAGAGCACGCTCGATAGTTTCTCGAAATGGGCTGAGAAGATGAATCCAAAGGACGACACGCATCCCAATCATTATGACATCGCGGCGCTGATTACGAGGTAATTTCGCCGCATCGGCGCCCCATAATTGTCGTGCCACAAGCCGCGTGTGCGCTTGCAGGTACGACATTTGCTCGGAGGGGACCAATTGCGACCTGATGGGTCTGGCTCACGTCGCCGCGGCCTGCGACTCAACGAAGGCTGCCTGCATCAACGAAGACAGCGGCCTCCTGCTCGGCATCGTGGTCGCGCACGAAGTCGGTCACGTGTACTGTGTCCCATAATGTCTCGATCGCATAATTATCGAGTAGAAAGCGACTTCCCGAGAAGCGGGACAAACACACGCGAATGATCCAAAGATCGAGGGAACCGTGGACGAGCGTTTGTCTCTCGAGCGAAAAGAAAAAAAGAAGAGCCGAGGGAGAAAGGTTAATTTTATTGGGTTGTTCGGAAAGTAATTTCGGTTTTTTACATGAAGAAGAAAGACGATATTTTTAATAGAAAGAAAAGTTTTATTCCGTCACGTATTAATCATTTTGTTCTAACACCTTTTGCGATCTTTGAGGTAATAACATGATTCCACGCTCGTGGAGAACTTCTGGTCCTTATTGGCAAAAAACTGAATTAAGTGGTTTTTGACACCTTCGTTTGATTCGAAATTTTTACCATCCAAAAAATTTCGCAGTGACCAAAATATGTGATAATCGAATAGTGCCAGATGAGGCGAATATGGTGGATGCGGTAACAAATCCTATCCAAGCGCTAACAGCTTCTGGCGAGTCATTAAATTTGTGTGAGGTCTGGCGTTGTCATGACGAAACACAATACTTTTTCTATTCGCCAATTCTGGTCTCTTCTGTTGTTTGATGAAATCAGTTAATTTGTCCAATTGATGACCATATACATTCGAATCAATCGTTTGGTTGTTTGGTGGCAGTTAAAAAAAAAAACATTCCTTTCCAATCCCACCAAACAGAGAGCATTATCTTCTTTTGATGGATATCAGCTTTCGGTGTGCTTTGAGTTGATTCATCACGCCTGCTCCATGATCTTTTGCGTTCAATATTATTGTGCATAATCTATTTTTCATCCCCAGTTATAAATCGCTTCAGAAATGAATCGTTTTCCTCAGGTTTCAACAGCAAATCGCAGCTGGTATTGCGACGAATCAAATCTCTTTCTTTGAGAACGTGTGGAACCCAAGTATCGAGCTTTGAAACGAAACCAAGTTGTTTCAAATGCTCATGCACGATCGAATTCGATAAATTCAATCTCTCAGCAATTTCTCATGTTGTTAAATGATGATTTGCGTCCACCAATGCCCTTAATTGGTCTTCATCAGTCTCAACTGGCTTTCCAGAACGTGGTGCATCTTTGAGGTCGAAATTCTCAGAACGAAATTTCGAAAACTAATTCTGATACTGGCGTTCAGTCAACACATCCTCTTCATATACGACACACAATTTTTTTTTTACTTGTGCTGCATTTTTGTCTTCACGGTGACAAAACAGCAAAATGTGACGAAAATGCCCACGTTGGTTTTCCATTTTGGATGCCAAACAAAAACAACTTGACAGATTCCAAAACAACCTTTTTTCAAACGAAGCTTGAAATGTGCGTTGTAAACATATATAAAAGGATTTTCTGGTTTAGAATGAGGTTGACTGCTTAAAAAAGGCAACTAACTCCATCTACTTGAAGAAAACCGAAAAATTACTTTCCGAACAATCCGATACAAAAAGCTCCTCCCCTCTCCGCTCTAAGGGGATTCCCTTCTTCCACGGCGGTGGTGCCGTTCACGGTTGTCACAATTGTCGGGATATTCCGCGCGTTGCCGCGCGTGAAAAGCTACGACAGGCACTACGACAGGTATCCCGGCTATAAAAATGTTATTTTAGTATGGGCTGTTCCCACGACGAGCCCGAGACGAGCGGATGCCCGTCGCAGGACACGGACGATAGCTACTTTATTATGTCTCCCATCGTCTTCTTGTACACCATCAGATGGTCGAGCTGCAGCAGGAGATTTATAACAGCTTTTCTCGAGTAAGTCGAGTCGCTGCATAAGTAATGGCCGTTTTCGATTGCGCAAATAAGCACAGTCCCCGGCGCATACGCCGTGCCTCGCTCGCGCTCGGCGAGAACGCGGGGTTGGAGGAAGGGGGAGGGGGGCGAGAGTTCTGGGAAAATGTTATTCTACCGTAAATATATGCGGATTTACATCGGACTGCGGAGCCAGCGAGCCAGGCAGCGCCTCGCGCCCGCGGGATATTTCTACGTTTATCGTAGATTTCATCGCGACTAATTACCCGGTGACATTATCATCGGATTGCAGCGGCGTTAATCTCGAGCCGCTGCGTAATCCGCAAAATAAATTTATAACAATGCAGTACGCCTATCTCCGTCCGTCCGGAGCTCGCCAAGAGCGGCACGTCTCGTTGTCGACGGTGTAATTTACGATTGCCGTTGCAATCGATGCGTCGGCGGCCGAAAATTTCGGCCGCCGGCGTTGATTTACGAACGCTTCGAGGAAGCGGCCATTGTTAGACACCCGCGCTGCCGCGGCTCGTTTCGCACGCGAGCAAATCTCCCGTCCTCCAGGAGCGGCCTCGGCGAGTGTTTGACCGACAACCCGAGGAACCCGCCGGAAAAGCTCAAGTACCCGGACATGCTGCCCGGCGCGATGTACGGCGCTGACTTCCAGTGCGACATGCAGTTCCCCGGCTCGAAGGTGTGCCCGCAGCCTCAGGTAAATTCTCCACGCTCGCCTGAATTGAAGTCCGAACGACGCGAATCGCAGATTGCCGCTTAATGAGATCCACTTTCTCCCCCCCCTCTCTCTCTCTCTCTCTCTCTCTCTCAGCGAGAAATCGATTTTACGGTCGCGCCAGCCACTCGCGTTCCGCGCTTCATCCGTCACTTGACCGCCATGGAAGTCGAGCGACTCTTATTAATCCCGCTCGATTAGCCAGCCGTACAAAGTGTACTCGATTATCGCTAACGTCTTCCCGCGCTGCGTCGGGACTCGCCGCGGACGACGACGGGGTCGTTCGCCAGGTTCGGCCGTCGGAGTCCGCAGTCGCGCTTTAAATGACAGTCGGCTATCGCCGATGCACAATGAGGCCAGATGACATTCTTTGGTTCAAAATTCTCTAGAGACCTGCATTTCCAACTGATCATCGACACCAACGGATGAGGTTGATCCTGAATGAATTCCGAAGAGATCTGTCTTGCCAAAATTAAAAAAAATTTTTTTTCTCGAATTACTAGCCCCAAAAGGGGAGAAGTTATCGTTAAACGCGAGAAACTTGTGAAATATTCATTATTTCTATCTAATAACGTATTCAGCGGATTGAAACTATAAAACCAATCAACAGACGCCTCGAGATTTATCGATCTTGAATCAGAAATCCATTAACCCAAAACTCATATGCCTAAAATGCAAAAACATCAAATATAGATCCGTTAAGCACAAAAGGGATTTTGGGTCTTAAGCCCATCAACATAGGAATCTATCGATCCGAGAACTTTTTAGCTGAGCTGATGAACTTTGAAATACTGAGTTTTCTAAAAGGTGATTATAAGTTCTGGAGTCTCACATGGAATATCCATAGGCTCGAACCCATTGAGGTCGAACGCAAGACATTGTACTTTAAACGATAAACTTTTAAGACAAACCGTAAACCCATGAACCCTGAGCCGATAATTCTTTCAAAATTTCGGCTGGACAGGTCTCTTTGGAATTTATTCAGGATCAACCTCATCCATTGGTGTTGATGATCGGTTGGAAATTCAGGTCTCTAGAGAATTTTGAACCAAAAAATGTCATCTGACCCCATTGTGTGACGGCCCGTCTCTTCTCCAAGCTAATCCGATCTAGCCTGGTCTCGCAGCGACGACGCGCGTGTTTCAGGCGAATACCTGCGAGAACCTGTGGTGCTTGACCAACAGCAGCTGCTACTCCCTGGGGACGCCTAAAGCCGATGGCACCAAGTGCGGCGAAAACAAGGTGCGCGCGGTTCGCCCGTCGGCCCGCGAATCGCGCGTTTTCAGCGCGACTCGCCGAGAGAACGGGCGAGCTCGGTTGTATGCGTTGCCATTGCCGATAGGGTTGCTAGATACAAAATAGGGAGTTTTGCAAAGTATTGCAAAAACTCCCCAATGACTATTTCCGGGACATTTTTTAGGCGACGGCTGAAAAATAGGTTGTTAGAGAATTTCAGTTAAATTTGAGAGATAGAGGAGTCGGCTAAGGAGTCGGAGAGACGGCTAAGAGATGCTGCTGTGCAACAAACAAATGCGTGAATTAAGTACCAGCAAAGAGAAGTTGTATTTTTTTTCTTTTCTTTTTTTTTTATTACGCGAATGGTTTAGTTGACATCAATTTTCTTAGGTGGCACGTCGAATTTTTCGACCCTACAAATTGCGATGACTGCTCTCAGGTTTCTCTCTGGTACCAGTTAGAAACATGAATATTATGATTATGATGTTGTTGAAATTCTGATTTTCCAGGGCAAAAGACTTAAATTCAGGGACACGGGACGAGCTTAAAAATTCTGGGACATTTCCGGAAATCCTGACCATCTGGCAGCCCTAACCGTCGATGAGTCCGCGGATGTTACCGCGGAGTAAGGTTGCCATATGCGAAATGACTATTTCCGGGACATTATTTAGGCGATAGTTGAAAAATATGGGATGGTTGTTAGAGAATTTTAGTTAAATTTGGGAGATGGAAGGGTAAGATGGCTAAGAGATGCCGCTGTGCACTCGCAACAAATAAATGCGTGAATTAGGTACCAGTAGAGAGAAGTTCGGACATGAACCGTGCGACTGTATTTTTTATCACGAGAATGGCTTAGTTGACATCAATTTCCTCAGGTGGCACGTCGAAAAACTCGACCCTATATAAATCGCGATAATCGTTCTCAGGCTTCTCTCTGGTAGCAGTTAAAAACATGAATGTTATGATTATGATTTTGTCGAAATTCTGATTTTCCGGGACAGAGGACTTAAATTCCTGGACACAGGACAAGCTTAAGAATTCCGGGACATTCCCGGAAATCCCGGTCATCTGGCAACCTTACCGCGGAGCGAAAGGCGAGAAGCGACTCGCCGCGAGATAACATCAACGATATCGGCGGACGTCAAATCGCGCGGGCGAGCGAGCGAACGGCGATCGCGTCGCGGCAGGATATTCGCGAGCCGCGTTGTATCCGCGTCCGCGAACGAACGCCGATGGAAACGGCGCGGCTAAGAGGACGTTACTGTCTTTGGCCGAGAGATTTATTAACCGACGCGCTTTGTGCGTCGCTCTTCGCGGATGTAGATTTCGTCGCCTTCGGCGACGGCAACGGCGGCGGCGCGTAGATTTAATCGCGCCTGGGAAATAAATCGATGTGTCAGGAAACTTCGCGACTTTCCGCATTGGAAATTGGTATTCGTGGGATCGGTGACGGGGTGGAGGGAGGGAGGGGGCAGGAGAAAATAGCCCGCGCGAGACGTACATCGCTGTCGCTCGAGCCAGGGTTGGTAAAAAACATGCTTAAAATAAACGAGAAAACAAAACGTCATGTTTTTTGTTTAAAATTATTTTTGGGTGTGTTTTAGACAAGCGTAAGGAAACATGTTTCAAACATGTTTTAAACATATATAGACATTTTATTTTTAGCACAATTTGAACATTTGACTTTTGATGCGGACTTTGGAGTGCAGTCGGTGGTTTAATAAGAAAACTTCTTTTTTTAAATCATTTTATTTAAATAAAGTATGAAATATATATTTATTTATATATACATGTATGTGAAATAAGTATTTTTTTATAATTGTGCAATAATGTATACATTTGTAATACTGTATGTAATGTGCAAGAATATGAAAAAATAGATATTTTGTGGAAAGGTCGATTTACACCACCAATAATTTTATGTTTAAAACTGGATTACATATCAAACATCTTAAAATATACGTTTAAAAAAAGTATGTTTAAAATTATCGAATGTTTAAAACATGTTTAGAACTTTTGCTTTAAACAAAGGGTGCTGTTCGGAGATAAAACGAGCTTGGCTTGGTCGTAGTCTAAAAATAATACATATAAAAAGGACTAACGGCATCTGTATTCTGAGACATTTTTTTATGATTTAGTCTTTTGTTAATTCTAGATTAAATTAAAACTACTTATAGGGGTAGTCTAAGGTTGATTTAAGCTTTTAACCATTGCAGGCGTATATATGCGCCCTGACATGTTGATATGTCATCAAAATTTTGTTCGGTTTTATTCGTATTCGCGTCTTTTGTCGATAATATTTTGTTATTTTTATTGCCGAGTCCGTCGGGAAACTTTACTTCCGTGTGGCCCAATTAGCCTTCTTACTTGGCTTTATTTTATTTGACGTATTGAGAATAATTTTACCGTCGCAAATTAAAGAAAAAAACAGTCTTAAAGTGTAAGCGCGAAACTCAAGAGTCGCGTCTTGACAATTCCTCAGTGATTGCGTTTCATTGGCCACGAAGTGTCTGAAAATGGACCTAAGACAATTAAATACCAGATCCTAATATGAGCACCGCCGGAAGGGTCTAACTTCCTTAGTCCGGATGACGAATTTAACATCCAAAAAAAGTATTTTATTTGTAAAGTGATTTTTCTTACAGTCTCATTCTAAGCGAAGCCTTTTACAGAAAAAGGATTCTTCTTTCGATAAAGCGATTAAAGTGAACTATCATTCATCTAAAATTTATTAGATATTATTCTAACCATTTTCTTCTTATTTCAAGAGGATTATATCAATTAATTTTCTTCTTATATGAAGAGGAATATGTTGATTTGTATGTCGGCTTCTTTTGTTCAGTCATACTCTACCTTCCAACATGAACGAAAAAATAATCATGTGCTTCTGGGTCAGAATATTTGGAACGCTTTTTAAAAAGAGTATGTGTGTGCTGTAACATATAACGAAGATAATTTACTCATATTTGGTCAAATACAATTTATAATCTATTGCAAGAAGTTGAATAATATATTCTTTCCTTTAACTTTGTTTCATACAATTGGTTATGATGAACATCTTTGTAGCTATGAAGTCTATAACAAAACTGATTGGAAATTTATTTCATTCGTGCCTACTTATTGTAGAACTAGAGCTAGAAGTACATCTGCATTAACTAGTATAACCAGTAAAAATAAAATACAGTAAGAATAAATAATAATTCTCTTAAAAAAAGATTAAATAATCTGTGTATAAGAGGAAATTTATATTAAAATCAACAAATTTCGCATTATGCATATAACATATAATCCCTCTAACTTTAAGAATAACGTGTTTACGATATTTTCTTCTTGATCCTGGAGGAATTCTCTTGAGGCCATATATAAGATTAAAATCCTCTAAAATTTAGATGATTCCGCTTGTTCTGAAATTACTTTCTTTTGAGTGAACCATTTCGGAAAAATGTCTCAGAATAATGCAGCCTTCGTTTATCGATAGGCTAGACTACCGAAGGACTAAGCCAGGATCAAAGTAAGATTATTACGGTCTTACGCGTTATCTCCGAATAGCGCTGAAAAAGTTTAAAACACGCGAACCCTGGTATCTCGAACCCGCGGGATCAAGGCGGTGCGAGATGAAAGAGCGACGTGTGTGAGCCTGTGTGTGCGCGTGCGAGCTGCAGTGGTGCATCCACAAGAAGTGCGTGGACATGGGCATTCGGCCGGCGGCGGTACACGGCGGATGGGGCGAGTGGGGTCCCGTGGGGCCCTGCAGCAGGACCTGCGGCGGCGGCATTAAGTACTCCGAGCGGGAATGCGACCGACCGGTGCCCGCGAACAGCGGCAGATACTGCACCGGCGAGAGGAAGAAGCTTTTCACCTGCAACACCACGGTAAATTGCGCCGCGTCGCTCCCCCCTGCCGGCGCGGCGGCTCGCGTGAGCTTCGATAATCGAGTCGCGCTTCCGTCGGCCGTTTCGACACTTTCGCGCTGCTCTTCAGGCTCGAGCTTGCCGGCCGGACAAAAGCGTTCGGGCGTCTTGGTTTTTTCTTATTTTCTTCTCCTTGCTCGCCGCCCTCCGTTTCATTCTCATCGTCGCCATCGTGGCTTTTCCACGCCGCACAGTGGGGCCAGATGACATTTTTTGGTTGAAAATTCTCTAGATACCTGAATTTCCAACCGATCATCGATACCAATGGATGAGGTTGATCCTGAATAAAGTCCAAGAAGAGATCTGTCTAGGCGAAAGTTTGAAAAAATTATCGGTTCAGGGTTCATGGGTTTAGGGTTTGTCTTAAAAGTTTATCGTTTAAAGTACAGTGTCTTGGGTTTAGCTGTGGCTAGATTAGGTTCTTGGACTATTTGAGACTCTTAATATATACGGCTTCATGCATCCACGAGCTAAAAAGTTCTCGGGTTGATAGATTCCTAAGTTGATGGGTTTAAGACTCAAAATACCTCGGTTTTGTGCTTAAACGGGTCTATATTTGATGTTTTTGTATTTTGCAGGGCATATGAGTTTTGGTTTAATGGGTTTCTGGTTCAAGATCGATAAATCTCGTGGTGTCTGTTGATTGGTTTTATAGTTTCAATCCGCTGAATACGTTATTAGATAGAAATAATGAATATTTCACAAGTTTCTCGCGTTTAACGATAATTTTTCCTCTTTTGGGGCTAGTAATCGGAGAAAAAATTTTTTTTTTAATTTTGGCAAGACAGATCTCTTCGGAATTTATTCAGCATCAACCTCATCCATTAGTATCGATGATCGGTTGGAAATTCAGGTTTCTAGAGAATTTGAACCAAAGAATGTCATCTGGCTCCACTGTGCGCCGACCGACTGCGAGCGCGGCGGTGAATTTCCTCCCCCTCCTTGCGAGGACCCGCAGGTCAATTCTTGTTCTCTTTTGTTTCTCGGCGGTTCGTCGCGACGATTCCTCGCGCGCAGCCCTGCGACCCGACTAAACCGCCATTCCGCGCGATGCAGTGCGCCGAGCACGACAACGAGGAGATCCTGACGGACGGGCTTCATCAATGGAAGCCGTATATGGACCCGAAATTAGATCCCTGCGCGCTCTACTGCATCAACGAGAAGCGCACTTTCGTGAAGATCTCGCCGACGGCGAACGACTCGACGCCCTGCAAGGCGGGCACCAACTATATGTGCATCTCCGGATCGTGCAGGGTGCGAAGTCACGATGTTCGAATCGCTTTTTTGCGAAAGGACGCTGGTGTCGTATTACGTTATCTCCTTTGAAACTTTCCCATTCCGATTTCAGTCTCCCCCCCCCCCCCGAGACGCACATCACTTTCCAATGTCCTCTTTTATTTATTTACGTTTTGATATTGATATACGGGGTGTCCGAGACGTACCAACGCTCGTCCACATGTGAATTAGGTGAGACGGAAGAAAAAAATCATTCTATCATTTTGCAAACAATCGCGTAAAATATTGGGACGAATAGCCGCGATATCAATGTCCTTTAATTAATCCTTAAACACCAGGATAGGTGAAAATTCACACGGTGATATTTTTTAACTGTTGCCGCTAGATAGCAGCGCATTACGCAACGGTGTCCCGCTAGAATTTACAGTGTTCATAAATATTTGTAGTTCATGTACACTAAAAAAAAAAGAATAAAATATTATGGTTGAAAATTCACCGTCCTAGTAATAGGAGGAACATCCAAGAGTTAACAACTGCAAATCTACGTGGTTATTTGCAGCGAAATGCGATGGGCGGCCTTTTTGATTTAATCTACTGGTACATGACTGCAGGAATCGTTGCGTCACGACTCATCATTCGCGCTTAATCATTCGCTGATTCTTTTTAACACGTTAAACATGTATCGGTCACCGGTGACCGACGATAAACTTTGCGTCTAGGCAGTGTCCATTACCGTTAACGATACAAAATTTAATAAATAATATTCTAATATTAAAAACTAAAAGTTTTAAAATTATGAAAAAAATGAATCTACATGTATATATAGGGTGAGCCACCTAAACAGGCCATCTGAAAAACTTTGACAATATGCAAGATAGAAAAAAAAACAATGTTAAAGTTATAAAGTAGGGTTTTAAGTGACTTATTGCTAAGTGACGCTTTCAGCGTCACTTAGCAATACTAGTATGACCTTTAACAGCGTCATCGAGGTTACGAGAAGGTCACCTTGACTTTCTTTTAAATGGAAGTTTCAATTTTTTATTACATTATCTTTTTCCACCAATTATTTTCAACGACTTTTGTCTGAAACATTTTTTCATTTGCTCAATATTTTTTTATATTTAATTTAAGGATATTTAAAGAAAACTTGGTAACTTTTTCGATATTTGGCTTACGATATCTCGGCGACTATTTATCGGGAGAAAGAGTGGTACTAGACTTTTATACTCTATTTGGTCTTAAGAATATGCTGTTACAATAGTGCCCTAACTTTTAACTTGGTGATTTTTGAATTTTTAACTTGGTTAACTTGGTGATCTTTAAAAATTTTAGAATCACCTTTAATTTGAATTAATCTATGCATGCACACGTGCACGTTGGTGCGGCTTGCGTCTCAGACTCCCCGTATGCTAAAGTGCGATTCGTAAACCCTGTACATTGCAAAAGAGAGAGAGAGAAAGAGAGATTCTCCAATTTCGCGATCGTTTTCTCACGCGCTCGAAATTTCTCCTGTATCTTTGACGCTGTTGATTTTGCAGAGACACGTCCATACACACACACACACACACACACACACACACACACACACACACACGCACGCGCATACGCACACATACACATACACACACAAGCGCATGAGATTCTTACTTAACCAAAGCTGCTCTCGTATTATGTATCCGCAAATAAAGCGTAAGCGCATAGTGTGCGCGTGCACGTAATCGAATTTGCAACAAACTCGGAATAATTAACGGGAGGGGGGAGGACGAACTGCGTTACATACTTGCGCGTCCATGACAACCTTTGCGCTAGTCTGGCATAATTGGATTTAGCGGAAAGGTTCCCGCTATTTACGTGCGTTATCTAACTGCAATTACTTTGTCGTGCTTAGCGCAATCCACCGTTAATTAGCGACGCAAATTCGCCGGAATTGCGTGCGATATATCGGGCGATAGACCGAAATAACTGGATACCCGACGTAAGAGCATTTGCGAGCAAGCATCGACGAACGAAACTTGCGACGAACGAAATTTCTACTCCCTCCTCCCCTTTCTCTCTCTCTCTCTCTCTCTCTTTTGAGGAAAGCGTAAAAAGATACAAGACAAAAAAATATGTCTCGCAAACATCCCCTCTTCGGCGAAAGGGATGATCCCTTTCGCCGACTTGCACGCGGCGCTCGCCCTTTCGTCGATTATACGCGTCGAGCAAGCCGAACGTCGAATAACACGCGGATCTCTCGCATCTCGCAGAAAGTCGGATGCGACTGGCTGATAGACTCGGGCGCGATCGAGGACAAGTGCGGCATCTGCAAGGGCGATGGGACCAAATGCAGGCCGGTGGAGGGCGAGTTCACCGAAACGGCGTCGTCGAGCGGTAAAATTTCAGCGGAGCTCGCGAGCCCGTCGCGATACAACGTTCGTCTCTCTCCTCTCTTTTTGCAGCATATGTGAAGATCCTGACAATTCCGCGGGGAGCGCGCAGTGTGCGCGTTTCCGAGAGGAAACCCAGCGAGAACATGCTGGCGGTGAAGCTCGAGAAGGATAAAACATACTGCATCAATGGCGACAAGTGAGCTTCCGCAAATCGTCGCGCGAGTCCTCGCTTTTCCCTCTCTCTCTCTCTCTCTCTCTCTCTCTCTCGCTCTCTTTTGCGGGCGCTTTTGCCGTTTTTAATTTATAGCGTCGATAATACGCGGGCGGAGCGTCCCGGGAAAGTCGATACGCGCGGATACATTTCGTAACGATGATAAACGTGGCGCGTTTTTACGGCACTTTTACGACGTCGTCGCTGGCGTAGCCGCGAGTTGCAGAGCGGAGATTACGAGTGCGCTGGGACGATGATTATCTACACGCATCCGGAGCCGGATAAGGAAGTGGTGGAAATGAAGGGTCCGATAGCTGAAGATGTCGAAGTGGAGGTACGTCATGTCCGTTTTTCCTCCGACGGCTAAAATCGCCGTGTAAAATATATCGCGCGCGGTATAATTATCGGTTTTGTCGGGCATCCGCCGAGTAAAAACCCGATACCGCTAATACGTCTTTTTATCGGCCGCGCGGCCGGACTTGCGTGCGTCGGCGATTTTATTTATTGCGAAATATCCGCCGCGTTTCTCTCTCTCTCTCTCTCTCTCTCTCTCGCGCGCGCGCGATCATTATGAGTATCTTGCGCGCCGCGCTTTTTTCCAGCGTTTAATTAATATGTAGGTTAATGACGAAGTAATATCCTCAGCCCCGAAAGAGTCGCGTGTCTGTGCGCGCGATCGTTGCTCCCCGAGTAGAAAAATTAATAGGGCTTTGATAAGGGCCTGATTATTTTTCTCTAACATTAATCTGGCTCTAGTAGGGATAGAAAGACAAGGGCCCAACCAAGATATGTAACAAATGGTTTAACGGGTCCTTATAAGGCAATATTATAAGGGCATTATAAGGCAATGTTAAAACAAGGGCTTTATAAGGCAATATTTTTATTATTGCTTGAGCAAAATATTCGTTCTGTTTATTTATTCCAAGAAATTTAGATTGTAATTTCTTTATTTCTTTATAACCTTGTCGGTATACAACAAGAATTTTTTATTTTAAAAATATATAGCATACTCAATAGTAAGATATAGCATTCTTTACACATAAAAATCCTGCTACTGCTTTTATTCAAGTTTGCTGTATTTCAAAACGAAGGCAATATTAGAAAAATCCTTGGAAGAGACTAATGAATATGGCAATTAATAAAACTAATAAAATTTGTTTTTAATTAAGATATAATTAAAAAATTTTTTAAAGAACCAGATGGAGCGTACCTACTGAAACAATACTAAACTATGACAATTTTATTATACGCTTCAGATCTTATTAATTTTCTATAACAGAACTTGATTTTATATATCTAAAGCATCCTTAAAAGATCCTCCTAAGGTCCTTATCAGTTTTCCCTATCAAAGTCATTTATTTATTAAATTTAAGGCACCCATAATGAATCCTTTTAACGTCCTCATCAGTTTTCCTTATCAAAGTCTTATTTCGTAAAATTTAAGGTATCCTTAAAAGATCCATCTCGAGGCCTGTTGTGGTAATAATGAAGCATCCTTTTCTGGGACATTCCATTCAGTCTTATCAAGGCCTTATGCTTCATGAGGATGGCCTTAACAATATTTGCTCGGGTCGGACGAGACTCTGGCATTCTCGCAATGTTCGACGCGACAAATTCGAGAAATGCTTGCTTTGCGCGCGAGATGCGCGCAAAGATGCGATGCCATGAGGAAATTAACCTTTTATATTCTGAATTTATTCACCTTACCAAATTTTTGTGCAATTGAACAGCATACTTCTCAGCATATCATAAACATAGGGAACAGAAAAAGTTTTATAATAGTTTAATGATTAAATTTTAAGCTGGTACTTTTAAGTACCGTCAAAATACCAAGGATAAAGCAATTTTGATCGTCGCACGGAGAGGGGGGAGAGGGAGAATATTCGTCGGTTCGATATGACCGTGAACGATGAACCGTGAACCGATGGCACGCGTCGCTCGAAGGAAGCCGAATCTCGGCTTGCGATTTTGTTTCCTGCGAGCGAAACGCGTCTTCCAACCTTCTTCTTCCATGTGACTGTCCGATTCGCCGCTGACGGTGCTGCGCGCTGTTCAGTACGCCTTCTTCAATCCCGAAGACAATCCCGGAATAGACTACAAGTATTACGTGAGCGCGACGAATACGTCGTACAGGCCCAGGTACATGTGGGACTTCACCGAGTGGTCCGAGTGCAGCGCCAAGTGCGACGGCGGCACGATGGTAATTTATGACGGCGGCATTTCAGGCGTGTAACGCGTTCGGCGCTCTCATGCCGATCGATTCGCGCAGATATCCGAGGCGTCCTGCATCGAGGAGCAGGGCGGCCGAGTGACGAGCAACTTCTGCGACGGTATGCCACGGCCGGAAGCGAAGAGCCGCATCTGCAATCAGGCCCCTTGTCCCGCAAAGTGAGTCGCAAGTTCCGAGCGGCGCGGCGCGGCGCCGCGCCGCGCCGCGCAAGTTTCACCGCTCCTCAAGTGCGGACAATGCGACGTCGCCGTCTCTCGCGTAGTATCGACGATAAATTATTTCGCGCCGGCGTTTGTCCCGATGCGACGCGAGACTCGCGACTTCCTCTCGTTCGAAATTCGGCGTCGCGCTGTTCATTCTCGCGGCACCTTCGACTCGGCGCGCGTTGTCGGGACGCGCGGAATGCACTCGACTCGAATCGCGCCGCTGAAAAATCTCTCGGCGCCGCGCACACCTGAGTCGCGCTCGCTCGATCGATCTGAGTTTCTTCTTTTAACGATGACGCAGTGCCACGCGCGCGCGTGTCCGCATACATTCGCCGGTAAATAAGACGTTAACGCGGCGCCGCGTAAACATCGGCCTAGCGCTCTGCGCGCACATTAGCGTCCGCTCGACTAATCCGACGCAAAGCGAATAAATCCGCCTGCGCGGCCGGTCGACCGCTGTGCAGATGGCGAGTGAGTCAATGGAGCAAATGCAGCGCCTGCGACGGGAAAAAGGGCATGCGGCACCGCAAGATCCAGTGCGTGAAGCCGAGCGCTCGACGGGGCCAGGACGACGTGCAGGCGAATTTCGACGCATGTAAGGGCCGCGTACCGCGGCAAAAGGAGGAGTGCATAGGTACAATCGCGCGCGTCTCTGCCACATCTTTACGAGGAATCTCCGTTTACGGCTCGCGTTGGCGCTGCGAACCGCCGAACGGTCGAAGATTGCCGCTCGCTCAAGTTTATATGACGTTTTATTGTTATTATCATTATTTTTATTTTTTATTAATACTATATTGTTATTATTATTTTTATTTTTTATTAATACTATTTCATTATTATTAGGTCATCATTATTGCAAATGAATAATTCAGAAATTTTTCAGCTAAAAAAAATTCAAGGTTTATTCTAAAAGAGAGTAAAACAAATTTGTCAATCGAAATATTCGCTGTTGCTTTTTGTAACTTTTAGCCGTTTTTCAGGCAGCTGATGAATTCCATGTCGGAAAAATGTTGTGTCTTTGGACACGATAAGGTCGTCAAGGCATTTTCGAGTCTCATCCAGTGATTTGATGAAGTGCGTATCGGACGAGGCATGTTGCGTCGATCGGAACAAATGGTAATCGGTAGGACTGATGTCTAGTGAATACGCCGGGTGCCGCATAGACGTCTCAGCCAAGACTCATTATGATGTCTTTTGTCGTAGAAGCAATGTGCGGCCTAGCGTTATCGTGCAACAATTTCACAGGACGCTCTTCTTTGCCACTATAAGGACGTTTTCGTTCTAATTCTTGACTCGAAGGGATTAATTGGTGTTGGTAGTGGTCCGCAGTAATTGTCTCATTCGGTTTTAAAAGTTCATAATAAATCACGCCCTTCATTTCTCACCAAATGCAGAGTAGAATCTTCTTTTCGAAGTGTTTTGGCTTTGCGACCGATGTTGATGGCCCGCTGGGATTTACCCGTGACTTTTTGCGCTTCGGATTGTCGTGGAATATCCACTTCTCATCGCCCGTAACAATCTTCCACAAGAAAGACTTTCTACGCTGCTTATTGAGAAGAGAAAGACGCACTGCCACTCGTTGGTTTTTATTGGCTTCAGTGAGTTCATGCGGAACCCATTTTCCTTCGTTCTGAATCTTCCCCATCTCCCCAGTGTAGGCGTTTGGAAATAGTTTGTTGCGTTGCTCCCAACTGCTTTGCAAGCTCTTTTTGCGTATGTGCTGAATTCTCAGCGGGCAGTTGCTCCAAAGTATTGTCGCCGCATTTCCGGGAGGACCTCCAGGACGTTCTTTGTCAGTCAGACTGAAATCGCCGCTCTTAAACCGTCTAAACTAAAATGCACACACATCGATGCAGCAACTTCGTCGAAAAAGGAACAAATCGATTCGCACGCTCTTGCAGCATTTTTTCCTTGTTAGAATTCGTAAAGAACGTGCAGTGTCAGATATGTATCTTGTCTGTTGCCATTTCTGGCTGTACCGAATTGAATAATTTTTGAAATTATGTTGAGCCTTCCACCATGATAAATGTAATTTTTAATAACTATACAAGTCAACATTACAAGATCGTAACCGTAAAACAGCAGGAAAATTTGATTATTTGAAACTTAATTTCTGAGCTGCTTAAAAAAGTTTGGATTATTCATCTGTATATACCTAACGTTATTTCTTTCATTATTATTATTTTCATTTTATTTTTATTTTATTTTTCTCGACTATGTGTACGTTAATTTGACGATAGGCACGAGACCTTGCAAAACGGTATGTCCGAAGAGGACCCGACAGTCCGACGTGCGGCAGTTGATAGAGGCGAAGGAGGCCGCGAGTCTGTCCGCGAACGATCAGCGCAGGATGATCGGTAGACTCGTCGAGCACAGCCTAGCTCGTTACTTGGATAGGGCCCGCGACGAGTCGACGCGCGACGAGGAAGACAAGCTCGAAGGGACGGGCAGCGGCGCCCAGGACTTCCGGCGGCTCCTTTACGACTGGGCGATGACAAACGAGGACAAGCATAAACGCACCTGCGAGCCGGACGAGAGGTTCACCACGCCAAAGCCAGGATCCATCATCAAGGATTCGGTACCCATCGAGAAGGTTATACTGCTGCAGGCGCCGTACATGGACGAGTCCCTTCAGTCTAATCTGTCGGACAAGGCGTTCCAGGAATCCGGCGATACCGTCGGCGGGGGTATCGACACGAGCCAGCAGAGGGTTTACCAGGGCGCTCAGGCGGTCGACCTTATCGAAAAATTGACCCGTCGCAATCTCACGGCGACCTCGCGTCCGATCGCCGTCGGCGGGCGCTCGTCGCAGGGGGGAACGTTGAGCAGCAAGGAAGAAGGAGAACGCTCTCTCGCGAAGAATTCCCGTCATCCGCGTGCGTACGCGTCGCATGATTGACGTGATTCATATAAAAAGTAAAGCATATGAGCAAACGCACTCGACTACAGATTTGAATAAGTAAGAACCGGGGGGACTTTGGACATGTTTCCGCGTTTTCCCTCGAGGGGACTCGCCGCGCTCGTTGATTCACGCGCTCGTCACGAGGGGACGATTAAGTAACATCACGGGCTAAAGGTCATCGGGCCGAGGAGAGCGACAGGCGGGGGGAAGAGAAGACAGAGGAAGAAAAAAGTCTAATATGGCAGGTTAGGTTGCACGACGGACGGAAGATAAGATTGGCCGATACGACACAAATGTCACGCGCGCGCGCTCGGAGAGACTTTCAGGCGGACTCGCGTTGGGCCGTGCACGCGCAAGTACAAACTCGAGATTAATGATTCGCGCGTGGTTTTTGCCACTTAATCTTTATTGCTACAAGAAAATGTCGCGCTCGCTCGCTCTCGCGCTTCCTAACGATACCACCAAGATGCCGGGGCCATTACGCGCGTGGAGGAGAGAGCGTAATCTCGGGTCGTTGCGAGGCGGATCGCCCCCGCCATAAATAACTTACAAACGACGAATCTGAAAGATCAATGCTCGGCGCCGAGAGCGGGACTCGTTAGCGGAGCTCTCGCGGGGAGCGGGATCTCATCCTCTCGTCGTGGCGTTCGGCTGTAATTTATGTCGCGCGCGCGACCGCTGCAGCGTCGCATATTGAGAGATTATCTTGGGCCGCCAGCGGATATCCATCGGCGCTTTACCGTCAATTACGGCCGTGTTAGCCGGACTTAAACACCGTCGCCGATTCAATCGGCCGATTAATCTCGCGCCGCGACTCCCATCGGCGCGCAATCGTCATTCGCTCGCTCACGAACATCCCGGCGCGCGCGCTCCGAGATGTAAAAGGCAGCCGAGAGAAATCCGCTCTCTCTCTCTCTCTCTCTCTCTCTCTCTCGTACAACGTAACGATAGTTTTTATCGCTCTCGGCCAAGTCGGCGATCCGTGCAGCCCCGCCCTTCCTGTTCGGCGACGCGTAAAAGTCCCGCTGACGGCTCGCGTAACTGATCGCTCGAGTCGACTCGCGAATTCATCTTCCGCGGACACACGCGCGGCTTTTCACTCGAGGTGTTCCGGAAGACGAACGGCGAACTTCCCTTGCGCGAGAGTAATCGATGTACCTCGCATGTGTCCCGCGCGATAAATAAATCCTTTTCTCCTCCTGCTCCTCCACCTCTCAGTCGTGGGCTCGACGGATCGTCGGATCGACCGTTCGCGCGATCGATCCGACCTCGCGGAAGTCCTCAAAACAGTCATGCGCGCGCTTCCTCTTGGATCCTCTGGATGTACCTGAGGGCGTCCATGCCGGTCAGGACGAATTCCGTGCTGTTCGCCGGGGGCTGCGGCTCGAAGTCCTTGGGAAAGTTCGCGACGACGTCTTGGTCGTCTCGTTCGAGAATAATCGTGAGCGTGAGATTGCGGATGTCCTCCTTATCAAGCACCACTTGGCCCTTCTTCATCTCGTGCGCGCCGCCTGTCTCCGCGTCGTTGTTCGCAGCGTTTGAACTTCTCGAGCGAGTCTCGCGAGGTGGAATTCGACTGCTTCTCGTCTTTGGAAGCGCACTCGCGGCTTTGGTTGGCCGCGAGAGAGCTGGCGTGTCTTCTCGCGTAGCTTGTCTCGTCCGCGACGGATCATCGCGAGCACATCGGTCTCCTACGATGTGGCCAGAAGGCATCCTGGCGAGGTCCCGAGCGACCTTAATGAAGTCGTTGCGCCGTGTAAGCGACGGACCGTCGTGTTCGCCGTCGGCGGCGCTCGCGTCCCCTCGTCTCTGTCGGCTGACGCAGGACTCGGACTCCTTCGGCTTTGGTCCTTGGCAGTAGTCGTCCTCGATCACGTCGACATCCTGCTCGCCACGGCCGACAGGCCGTACGCATTTGACAGCGCGCCTCCTCTCGCAGCCCGGCGCGCACGGTGTGCAGCCTTGCCAGTCGCCGATGATCCATCTGGAATCGCGAGGCGATAAGCGGCGGCGCGGCTTTAATTAGCCGGCGCCGAGCCGACGCGGTGATTATCGCGCGGTGCCGTGTCCACTCGTTGGTTCCTCGAGATTATGGCTGACGAGTCTGTCTAACGCGTTCGGCGAGATCAACACGTCGGACCTGACGTCGGTGCCGACGGAATGCGAGCGAGCCGACGCCGCTCGCCGGAGAAGAGCGAATTTGTCGTTTTGACTTTGTTATTTGTTATCGTCGGGGACCGGGGTGGGGCCGATTCTTCGTGTTACAAAATATTTCGTAATATTAATGTATGTCGTCTTTTGCTTATATTTATCTATCATTACATGTATGCCATTTATTCTCAACCTATTTTTTTGTCTTAAAAATTAATTAACAAGTCGATAAATAAAATTTGTTAAAATTAACTTTAAAATTAATCGACTTGTCAATTTTTAAAACAAATAGGTTGAGAATAAATAAAGCACATGCGAATAGATAAATAAAATGTTCCGTCTAAAAGAAAGTCTAGGTTAATAAGACCTTTCAAATAAAATTAAAATATATTCTTATAAAATAAAATCACCAACTGTACATAAAATGATATAACATAACAGGAGTATAAACACCCACGGCGGGGAACATAAATAATGTTTATTGAAGTTTCAGGTCACCGTTGTACGTCCAAAAAAATCTAGGCTAATAAAATCCTTCAAATAAAAAATTAAATCAAATTCTTATAAAATAAAATCACCAACTGTACATAGAACAACATATTAGCTCCAGTAGTTAATTCTTTCCGATGAAATTTACATAGCTCAGAGCAAAATTTCAAATTGAAATATTTTCCCGCTGTTTTGCGGTTTTAAAGTGTTAACATTTAACTTTTCGAAATGACATATGATTTGGCGTTTAATACACATAACCTCAAATAATCAACAGTGTTCACTATGGCTATCAACAAAGAGCATATTCGATACGTGACGCATTTCGCATTTCATTCAAACAAAAATGCTTCTGAGGTAGTCAAAATGTTTGCGCTGCTCACAGTGAAAATGTTGTGATCGATCGTACGTACCAAAACTGGTTTGAACGTTTTCGAGGTGATGATTGTGATCTTTATGACCAATCACGCCTCGGTCAACGAAAAAAATTTGAAGACGAGGAGTTGTAAAATCTGCTGAGTGAAAATATGGCACAAATACCATGAGAATTTACGGAAGGACTGAGAGTAGGTTAGAAAGCTATTTGCGATCGTTTACATCGTATGGGAAAAATATGGAAAGAAGGCAAAGAAGGATTCCACGAGCTAACCATTGACAACAAAAATCACATTGACCACATGCATTACCTTGCTCGCCAGACAATAAAAAAGGACTTTTTACACAAAATTGTAACTGATGACAAAAATTGGATTATATATGAAAATCCTAAATACAAAAAATCATGGATAGACCCTGGTCAAAACCCAAACGTTTCAGAAAGAAAGTTCTTTTCTATATACTGTAGGACCAGAAAGGTGTGCTGTACTATGAGCTCTTGGAACAGAGTAAAGCAGAGATTTACCAGGAGCAATTGATACGTTTAATCGATGCAACTGAGAAAAAAGGACATTTATTGGACAAGGCCGTAAGGTCATCTTGCTGCACGACAATGCTAAACCGCGTACAGCAGCCACAAAGGAAACCTCTTACACTTGGACTGGGAAGTTCTCCCATATACGGCGTAAACTCCAGACTTGGCTCCATCAGATTTCTACTTGTTTCGGTCGATGCACTGTCTGATGTACATTTTTCAACAGTTGAGACGACGTAGGAAATTTCATCGAGGACTTTATAACCTCAAAGTCACCAAATTCCTATCGCGATGGAATTTAACAACTGCCCAATAAATGGCATAAGATCATCGATAACAAAGGAGAATTTCATTGATTAATCTTGGTCTATTGATTTTTAAATAAAGATAAAAATTGTCGAAAACCGGAAAGAATGAACTACTAGACTAATATAAGAATAAAAAGTTTCAGAAGTGAAATCATAATTATGTGAAAAACCGGAACAAGTGTGGCGTCTCGTCAAGGATCCTTGCTGCTAAGGTTCGAAATCTCGCGTATATTCTGCGATTAATTCGGAACGGTTGGCCACCTTACCACCTTGGGAACGAATGAGACAACGTAGGCTCGCAGCTGCTTCTTCATGGGCGATCGCGTAAACGGCCATGAAAATTAGCCAAGCGACGAGTACTCACCGCGGCATGCAGGAAGCCTCGTTACATGGCCTGACCTTTGCGTCCGGTCTAGCGAGGTGGCTGCAGAAACTGTCGTCCACCAGGCCGCCGATCTTCTCGACGCAGCGGGCTTTCGATATCTGCTCGCCCGGGCCGCAGCCCGCCGAGCACTTGCCCCAGTCGATAAAGTCCCACGAGAACTCGGGTTTACGACGAGTTCGTCGTTTCAATCCTAACGAGTATTTCAACGTAACGTTCTCCTTTGGTAAGACCTGCCAGATTAATCGGTCGTCAGGCAAGTGCGGCGAGAAGATAAAAATAAATTTTTCCTTAATGCAGCTGCCCCGAAGTAGCTTAATCTCGAAGCGCGGAGATCAAAGGGAGAAAATGGAGAAAGCACGTATTGTAGCGCGGGGAAGTCCGTTGTCGTCGCCGCGCGGGCTCGGAGATAAAAAATTGATGATCCAGTCGTCGCGCGTGAACGTTCGGTTTTACGCCGCGCGAATGGAGATTTATACTCGCGCCGGCTAAAGAGTGCCGCGTGCTTCGAAGACTACAGCGGGTCGTTACATTGGCGATTTCCGTTTTGCTCGCGCAAACTGCAGGCGCGCGTAATTTTCTCGCCGATAGTCCGACTTGGAATGGAACGGTCGGCTGTCGGGTGTCGAGGCACGAGTTATCGACTCGTCTCGCCGGGAGAGAGGCTCGACTAATTAGCGGAGTGCCATTCATTATGTTTACCAATATAACCAGGTCCTCGGTGACGGGTCCGGGCACGCTCAGGGCTCCCTGCCTCGGTCTTATCGTACCTAGCCACGCCTTGGAGCCCGGCACGTCGAACATTCCCAGACGGTTACTGAAATAATTACGTCGCGGTGTTAATCGACAGCCGCGCGAAACAGCGACGCCGGCGAGGCGAGTCGCGAAGAAAGGCGCAGCGGATCCAAATCGTCGCTCGGCCGGATGCCGACGTTCGTTCGATCGCACAGCGAAAACAATCGCGGCATCGGCTCTCTCTTTCCTCCCCGCCCGCTCACCCTTTCGTGCCTTCGTTTCTCTCTTGTTCTCTCGGCCGCGACGCCGGTGAACGGAGGTGGAATTTATTTACCCGTCGATCAACACGGTCTTCGTGCTCCTGCTGCGCACGACGATCCTGGATTTGGCCGGCTCCGCCATCTCGACGCGGATATTCCTGGAGCCTGCCGGCGCGTCCGTTATTTTCTTCAGTCCTAAACGTGGAAATTCGTTCAGGGGATTACTGCGAGGAGACGGCTTTTCCTCTCTTCTTCCTTCCCCCCCATCCTCTCTCTCTCTCTCTCTCTCTCTCTCTCTCTCTCTCTCTCTCATTCTGTCTCGCGCGGTTTTATTCGTCGAGATTCCAATTTCGGCGCCGCGGCGTCAGCGTGGCCGCGCCGCCGGCGAGATTTATTTGGCTGTCGCGATGCTCAAAGCGCGTGGAAGAGCAGAACTGAACGCGCCGCGAAATTGCGGAATTTTAATTCACGAAAGTCAGCGCAGCACCGCCGGAGTTCATCGGTATTTTTGTCAACTCGCGGTATTCTCTCCGCGCTGAATAGCAAGCGGCGATGCGCAGGCGTGCGCGCGCCGGAAAAATTATTGCAAAGAACGCCAACGGGCGGCTGATCGAAATGCAAAATCTCCGCCGGAGAGACCAGCTGAAAACCTCAATCAGAATTTGGGAATTTTTTTCGATATCGCCAGAGTGCCTCTCCTCGTGAATACTTATTCTCGTAAGTTCCGCGAAGCGAAATGCGCTTTGATTGTTCACTCCTGCGCGCATTTATTTTAGCATGGTTACACGCACGCGCAAACATATCCCGAGCAAAAAATTGTTAGAGCCATCCTCATGAAGCATAAAGCTCCGATAAAACTGAAAGTAGGATATCCTAGAAAGGGATGCCTCATTATTACCACATCAGGCTTCGAGATGGATCTTTTAGGGATACCTTAAATTTTACGAAATAAGGCTTTGATGAGGAATGATGAGGACCTTAGAAGGATTCGTTATGGCCTTAAATTTAATAAATAATGGCTTTGATAGGGAAAACTGATAAGGACCTTAGAAGGATCTTTTAGGGATGCCTCAGATCTTACGAAATAAGGCTTTGATATGGAAAGCTCAAAAGGGTCTTAGAAGGATTTTTTAGGAATGCCTTAGATCTAATAAATAAAGGCTTTGATAGGAAAAACTGAGAAAGGTCTTAGAAGGATTTTTTAGGGATGCCTTAGATTTTACGAAACAACGCTTTAACATGGAAAACTGATGTGCGCCTTAAAAGGATCTTTTAAAGATGCTTTACATACAAAATCAAGTTTTGTTATAGAAAATTAATAAGATCTGTAGCGTGTAATAAAACTGTCATAATTACTATTATTTTTGTAGGTGCACTCTATCTGGTTCATTTAAAGATTTTTTAATTATACCGCAATAAAAACATATTTTATTAGTTTTATTAGTTGTCTTCTTCATTAATCTCTTCCAAGGATTCTTCTAATATCGCCTTCGTTTTGAAATGCAGCAAACTTGAATAAAAGCAGTAGCAGGATTTTTATGTGTAAAGAATGCTATATTTTACTATTGAGTATGCTATATATTTTTAAAATAAAAAATTCTTGTTGTATACCGACAAGGTTATAAAGAAATAAAGAAATAAAGAAATCTAAATTCCTTGGAACGAAAAGAACGAATATTTTTACTCAAGCAATAATAAAAATATTTCCTTATAAGGCCTTATTTTAACATTGCCTTATAAGGACCCGTTAAACCCTTTATTACATATCTCGTAGGGCCCTTGTCTTTCTATCCATACTCGTAGGGCCCGATTCAAGTTAGAGAAAAATAATCAGGCCTTTACACCAGAGCTCCATTAATTTTTCTACTCGGGATGTTTGCAAAATTCACTACGCCCTCTTTCTTACGCGGCTGTGCGGCGAACGACAGGGTTCCCTGCTTCAGCGTGCAAGACGTGCTGTCGCCTTTGCAAACGCCGCAAACATCTTCGACCGCCGTGGACTCCATATTCAGGTCACAGGGTATCTCCTTGCATACCCCGCCAATGCAAATATCCCGAATACCTCGGTAGCATGTGGTACCGTCCACCACTTTCGGCCTCAGCGACGTCACCAGATTGGTCTCGCTCCGGCAATAAAGGGCGCAGGGGTTCTCGGACGCTCTCAAGTCTACGGAGGACAGGTCGGAAGGTCGACGGTTCTCGTCAAGGGCTTGTTCGTTCACTCACCTTCCGGCAAATTGTACGTCAGCCAGCGATGAGTCTTGCCGTCTTCCGGAAACACCCAGTCGTCGAACTCGGCGCACTGCACGTCGCGGAACGACGGCGTGCCAACGTCGCACGGCTGCAAGGGTTCATTTAAGTACGTTAACGCCGTCTCGATCTCGCGAAGCCTCCGGCTTCCTCAAAGGACAAGAGCAGCGTCGACGTAGCGCGTTGTCTTCCGCCTTTGGATTTCCCTGCCATTTCCAAGACGAGCCTCGCGAGGACGTTCGTGCTACGCTCGCCTCTTGGAGGAAGCCGTTCGCGTGCACTCTCGCCTAAGACTAACGTTCGTGGCGCAAATTTTGTGGCGCTTCCTGTCGCCGATGCAGTAAGAGCCGCCTCCGGACGGGGGTGGCCGGTTGCAGCTTCTTACGGAGTGCGACACTCCGGAGCCGCAGGTCCGGGAACATCCGCTCCAGGACGACCAGGTGCCCCAACCGCCGTCAGTGGCCCCGGGACGCTCGCCCACCATCAGGCACTTCATTTGATAACACCACTGCAACAGTCGTTAACCGACATCGCGGCGCCGTGTCGCGTCACGACGAGCGCGCGAGACGCGCGCAGGTAAAACCGTCTCCGAGAGCTGCATTATACATGGAACTGAATGATGCACGCGCCCTCGCGCAGACGAGAGCGACATGGAAATTTGTGCCTCGAGAGGGACCCGTATATTCTTGGACGCCTCGCCTATCGCTCGCGACCTACCTCGCCGTCTTGTTTCATTCAGCATAACACTAAGGCCACCTCACGAATAATTGTCGGCCCCCTTTACGATTTCAGTCACGTCAAATGTGCCCTCAAGGTTACCTTATGCCTGTGAGAACTTGCCGGGCATAATATTTACGTATTTCACTCTTCCTCATTCGACGTGGGCGAACTCGCGTCTTAAAAGCAGACGTCACTCGGCTGTCTCGTTATTCTCGATGCTAATTAGTCGTACGTCGTACAGATGACAGTCATGAAAGACGGTGTATACTACTGTGTTCGATACGTTCCGAGAAATTTTAAATAAACGCAAAGCGTATATTTAATCATCCAAATTTTTTATATTCCCCTCTACCGCGATATGTCAACTTATGCCAAGGTTTTTTCTAATCCTCGAGATATCTATTATAGCCCATTTCCAGTGAATTCTCTTTTACTTTCTCTGTCGACTCAAAACGATATCCACAAAGCAGTAGCTTGAGCTGAGGGAAAAGAAAAAGAGTCACATGGTTGCCATATTAGACGATTACGGAGCTTTGGTATTAGTGAATGTTTGGCTAAAAATCACGAATAAGAACAGCAATATGAGCAGGAGCACTATCATGGTGCAAAATCCATGAATTGTCATGCCACAATTCCGGCTGGTTTTTACGGATTGCTTCACGCAAACGACGTATAACATTCATATAATATTCACTGTTAACAGTTTGACTCGTTGGAAATTTCATGATGCACCACATCACGATAATCGAAGAAAACAGTCAACATGATCTTGATTTTAAAGTAATTTTGATGAGCTTTTTTCGCTGTTGCTTCGCTTTTTGCACGCCATTCACTTGATTGTTGAGCTTCGGTGTCGTACGCACAGACTCATGTCTCATCACCACCAATGACATATTTCAAGAATGATTCAAGAATGAAATCAAGAATGATGATCTTAAGAAACCATTTCTTCAGCGATCACAACACGATGTTGTTTTCGCAAAAAATTCAACTCTTTTGGAACGAGACGAGATGCAGCACGTCTCATGCCTAAATTCTCTTTTAAAATCGATCGACATGAGCCCAATGATATTCCAATGCGTTCAGCCATTTCTCTAATTGTTAATTGTCGATCACTATGCACTAATTTCTTGATTTCTTCGATGTGCTGCTCATCTACTGAAATGGAAGGTTTTTCAAAGCGTGAGTCATTTTCAACGCATTCTCTGCCTTTTTTAAATATTTTGTATCATTCATAAATCCTTGGTTGTGACATGCACTCATCGCTAAAACATTTCCACATCACTTTCATAGTTCGGGCACATGAAAAATTGTTCCAAAGACAAAATTTAATGCAAATTCTTTGTTCGCCAGAAGAACTGTTTTCATCACAAAACAAGTGTTTATTCATAAACTAACAATAGTAATGACGTGAAATTTTAGACACGTGTCAGAAATAGTCTTATCAATCTAAAAAATAAAGCTTTTTGAAACGGTCGACACGGGAAATTTAAGTGAGAACTTCTCGGAGCTTTTTGAACACAGTAGTATGTGTGGCTGGAAATTTGGAGTAGCTATCAGTTCATCGATGGTAAGATATTCGTGAGATAGACTGAGTCTTTTCATGAAAGAGATTTTAAAACAAGATGGAAAGGATAGAGCTGTACTCTCTTTTATTGTCCACGTGCGATGCAATGTTATTTTTACCTACACTGCAAGAAATGATGTATTAAATTTAACATACTTCGTGTGTCTCAAATCATCCACTCTCATTTATGTGTTAATTTAACATATAGCAAATATGTTAGAAAGTAAAACACATAATATGTAAAAAATTAACATAAAAATTTAACATTTGAATACCGTCAAGAATCACAGTTTGTGTTAAATTGACATACAATGAATGTTACTTCAATATTTGGGAAAAGTAACGATCTATAATTTGATGAAATGAAAATGTTAGATTGACATAATCTATATGTGAAAAATCCAATCTTTACATTAATTTAACATATGATAACTATTATAATGAGGAAAATAACACATTTTAGGTGTTGACTTTAACATCTAAAATATATCATAGCAAGAATTCATGCATTTACATATAAATTGTGTTATTTTGGAAATATTACACTTGGAAATGTGTTATTTTAATACTTTAAAATAGTTAATCTTAATTTAACACAAGAAAGTCTAATTAACACAATAACGATATGTTGAATTAACACAACTGTGCAAAAAATTTAACATAAAACTTTCCACACATAAAACATTTTAACAAAAGTATGAAACGTTTTTAACTGTCTATTTTAGCTTTCTCCAATAAGAATGAGGATAAACAAAGATCAAATGCCTTTCTAGCACAGACTGTCCCTTTCAGTTGTAGCCTTCGTAGAGCCTCTTGTGGGCCGTTCAACGTGTGTATACAGGATGTATAAAAGGTTCCGGGACGGCAAAGTATTTCGAACGGGGAAAATGTAAGTTTTACAAAAGAATGTTTCAGGCAAGAGCCGTAGGATCTAAAAAAGCTATTTACTGACCCTTTCAGTTTGTTGTCGCTAAGGTCAGGTCAAGGTCAGCTTGAGTTTTTTAAACGAGGTTTCCTGTTTGTTATCACATGCTTTTCGGTCTTGGCTGAGCATGTTCAGATACTTCAAATATTGCAGGCATGACTTTGCACATGATGTAACCTTTAGAAGGGTTGGATAGTTCGTGTGGGATGTAGGTAGGATGAGAGGCGGATTGGAACTGACTACTGTTCAGATAAAAAGGTTGGTTATAAGATAAGAATGTCAGTAAATACCAATGTATAGTGTTTTCAAAAGGTCTCAAGTCACTGATACGTGGTCCTAATCTGCCCTTATCGCCAAACCACCCACGCACACATCACTTACCACCTCCTCCTGCATATACGGGTATAATACGATAGTGGTATCTCCGCTTATTTCACTTTAGGTATGTAGGTATAATCGCCGACATCTTGCCGTGAGATAATTTTGAGTGCGTGACTCAAAGTGGATAAAATTAATGATTCGAGAAGATCTTAATAAGGAAACTGCGATAAAAAATAGGGCACTTTATTTGAAAAATTTAAGGTGACCTTCATGGTCCCTGCCATCCAAGGTCAAGATGATAAGACCAGCAAATCGACCTTTGTAAATTCTACAAATTTTGTCTAAAACTTCTTTGTCTAAAATTTCTTTTTACAAAGCTCTCATTTTCGTCGTCCCGGCATTCTTTGCACACCCTGTATAAATCTATGGTTTGCTGCATGTGCGAGCATGCACATGTATATGGTCAATAATCTATGATGATAATATCGACCACATGACATTTAACGCTTGATGCATGCATAGAGAACGCGGAAATTCGTTCGCTACATTCTCAAAGCTTCGAGCTTGCGCGGCTCGTTATTCCGCAAAAAAAAAAAGAGTGATAAATTCTCGCTGGCACTTCGTCGGAATGGCTGCTTGAATTTTAGCTACCTCGCTTTTTCACTTCAAATCGCCGTATTAAAGTGCGCGCGCCCTGCGCTAAAGTCACCGGCTCGATTCCGCAGTGCGCGCAACGCGGCGAATCCGCCCTCGGCCGTGCGACGAGATAATTGCTCTCCGCTCCGCAAACTACAATTACGCACATCTATTTGCTTATTTCATTCCAGCGATGATTGTATTGGCCGTTGTGTAACGGACATGTCAAACAAACCGTTTTTACGCACGCACGCGGATCAATTTATTTCCGTAGCTCGACGTTATCGCTCCGTTTTCAATTTTTTTCAAACTTGGCGGACCTCTGGCGGCGCATTCTGCACAATTGCACCCGTTAAATTTCATCGCACGTTCGAAATCGTTCATCTCTTCCTCCTCTCTTCCGCCTCTGCCTCTCTGTGTCGAGTTATTAAAGCGAAATATTAAACCGCCCCTTTTCTTCCAGAGGCTACGCGCGTCACACCCGCGCGTCAAACGCGTATTTTGCAAGTCGACTCAGCAATACTTATTCGATAAAAAGCTCCGTTTCCAAGGACAAATATTTTGCTCGCGATTGGGTAGCTTCCCGAGCAAAAATTTGATAAAATCATTTTTATGAAGCATAAAACTTCAATAAGGCTGAAATAGGATGCCCTAAAAAGAGGTGCCTCATTATTATAACATCGGATCCCGAGATAGGTCCTTTAGGGATACTTTGGATTTTATGAAATAAGGCTTTGATAGAGGAGAAACTGATAAGATAAAACTGATAAGAGCCTTAGAAGAATTTTTTGGGGATGCCTTAGATTTTACGAAATAACGAAATAACTTTAACATAAAAGACTGATGTGGGCTTTAGAAGAATCTTTTAAGGATGCTTTAGATATACAAAGTCAAGTGTTGTTATAGAAAATTAATAAGATCTGAAGCGGGTAATAAAATTGTCATATTTTAGCATTGTTTTAATAGGTGCGCTCTATCTGGTTCTTTTAAAGATTTTTTAATTATACCGTAATTAAAAACAAATTTTATTAATTTTATCAGTTGCCATATTCATTATTCTCTTCTAAGGATTTTTCTAGTATTGCCTTCGTTTTAAAATGCAACAAACTTGAATAAAAGCAGCAGCAGGATTTTTATGTATAAAGAATGCTATATTTTATTGTAAAGCACGTTATATTTTTAAAATAAAAAATTCTTGTTATATACTAACAAGGTTATAAAGAAATAAAGAAATTACAGTCTATAAATTTCTTGGAATGAAAAGAACGATTCTTACTCAAGCTATAAAATAATAATAAAGATATTTCCCCATAAAGCCCTATTAATATTGCCTTATAAAGATGTTAAACCATTTGTTACACATCTTGTAGAGCCCTTGTCTTTCTATCCCTATTAGGGCCCGATTAATGTTGGAGAAACTTACTAGAGGGCCCTAGTAATTTTTCTACTCGGGTTATTTGCCGATCTCTGTATTTCTCAAACCCGCGACGATGGCGAGAGTGTCAGTCCGCTTCGGAGCCGATTCGCCGACGTCCCGCGCGCGTGTCGGCCGTTTGTCGACTCGGCTCGTTCGGGCAATTAGAAATTACTCGTAGGTCGGCGAGGGTTCATCCCTCAACGTGGTGTTCGGCCTCACCGACACAGCCCGGCGGCCGATCGGCCGGCGCGCTAATGACTGCCGCCTGCGTGCTTCGACGCTCCGGCACGCTCGGTTATTAACATTGTCACCCGAATCTGATATCCCGCTGATAACTGATATTTGGACAGCGTTCGCGTCGGCGACACGCCATTACGTTCTCACGCGCGGCGACGTCCCGTGGTCACGCCTCGCTCGCGCACCCGGCCGGATCACTTTTGAAACGTCACGTAACGACGCATGCTTGAGCGACCGCAAAAAATATTTCACCCCGCCGATCTCCGAAATGTTCGACTCGCCGCGCGTTTCCCTCGCATGTGCACTCTTACGTCGCGCAGAACGCACGGGGTGTTTTCTAGTTCTTTTACGTGACCGACTGAGAGGAGGAAATTCTTCGTTTCTCTCCTTTTTTCATGATAATGAGCTGCGCATAACTACGAAGATATTCTCTTCTTTCTGAAACAAATTTCGCGCTACTTGGCGATTTTTCTCGTTATTCCCGCGCGCGCCTTATTCCTCTCTCTCTCTCTCTCTCTCTCTCTCTTTCTTTTTTTTTAATTTTCTCTCAGTAGAATGTAAAATTCATTATTGGATTCCGAGTAAACGGCGCAATCTTTTGAGACGTCTTCGCGGTGCATTAGCCCGTCGTGAAAGGCTTTGTTTGTTAAACCGAAAGAGCGCGGCAAGAAACACAGTTGCATAAAGTTCGCAATTTCCCGCGAACTCGCGAAAGCATCGCTATGAAAGAGTTTACGGAGGATATACGCGATATTAGTTCGTACGTACCTCTCGAGTACGTATCTTCCTCTCCTCTCCCTCTATCTCTCTCTCTCTCTCTCTCTCTCTCTCTCTCTTTCTCTCGAATATCCGCCCGCAATTTTTAACATCGCTACGTACACACCGCGGTCTTAAGGGCCGCGATGAAACTCGGTGAAAGCTGAAACTGGTTTCGATTCTGAAAGGGCGCGTGAGACTCGCGCTCAATGGCGGATTCAGATAGCTTTTTCAGATTTCCGCTATGCACTGTATCCCTCCTCCCCACCGGTCCTCCGCCTCAGGTTCTCGAGATATTTAATCGTAACTCGGCGCGTAATGGCCCGCCAGTAAGAGGCTCTCGAGAGCCTTGATTAATTAGCCAATATATAGTTTTTCTTCGGATATACGCGCGCTCTCAAGGCTCTCGCGGGCCGGCAAAGGACCGATCCATCGGTTACGCTCGGCGGCAAATATCTCGATGAGCGGCTCGTCGCCGCGACCAAACGAGCGAAATACACACGCAACGGAGCTATATAATTTATTCTCATAAATCTCTCCTGCGCTCTCGTTTGACGTGCGATATCGCGCCGAGTTATTCCCAGCCGAGAAACGCACTCAGGTCCCGCGCGCGAGGACCTCTTTTTCTAGAAATTATCTCTTCGCTCAAGTTCGACGCGTCCCGTCGCCGACGGCGCGATTTTTCACATCCCCGATAAGCGCGATGTTTGCTTCGTCCCAACCGGAACTTGCCCGCGTCTCATTCTCGCCGGCCATTTCTCGGTCGCGACCGCGAAGGTTGAGCTTTCCAGCGAGCCTCAAGGAAAGCTCAAGGATCAGAAAGCCGCGGTCGGCGAAATTCCTATCCGGAGGTAGGCGAAGAGGAAGAATCCCCGGAGACGGTTTTCTCGAGCGTCGCACGATTTTAAATCACCCTCGCACTTGGCCTCGTGCTCTCTCTCCGCTCGGAAACGACGGCTTACCCTCTTCTCGCCGCATGGGGTGCCCTCCGCAGGTGGTTTCCTCGCGGACACGCAACCTCCGCCCGGCACGGCGCACCTGAGGGTCTCGCAGGTCTGAAAACAGGGCAGCGAGGTCGTCTCGCTTTCAGCAGCGGGCTGCGTGCCGATCGCGATATCGCCGCGAGATATCGCGATCCCGCCTCTCCTCTCTCCGGTCTCCATTATCTGACGACGCGCGTGGCCGAAGCGTATTTTCCTAAACGGATAAGGTAGGCCGCAAAAGCATCAGCTTGTATACGCGGACGGCAGATGGTGCCTCTTTACGGGCCACGTGCGGCCGCCACGTGCGCGAGCTGCCAATACGGTACGACAAAGTTGCGCGACGCGTAATCGGGCCCGTTAACGGCGAGGACCCCGCGCCTGGTTCGGGTCCGGGTCCTCATGGCCGTCCACGCGACTTACGATCCCCATGTCGCACTGCCGAGCGTCCGTCCGGTAGAGCAAGCGACACTGATCGTCGCCGTTGTACATCACACCCGGCAGCATCTCCGCGCTGGGGAACCGATGATCCTGCTGCTCGTCCTCCAGGCAGAACGCCAGGCCTTGTCTGGAAGCGTATTTACTCATTTTATCAGTTTCACCTTGGATGACGTCGCCAAGGTCATGACAAGGTCAAGTGGAATTTTTTAAATGTGACTCGTACGTTTTTAATATATATTTTTAGAGTTCTTGATGAGACATTTTCAAAATACTATAGTAAAGCTTCTTTTGGTTAAGAATTTTCTGTAATATTTTAAAATTCAGTCATTTGAAGCAACTGATCTTGAGTAGCTCTCTAATTCAGGGTTCCCCAACCTCTTGTGTATTTCGCACCCCTAAAACTTTATTAATGACCTTCGCACTCCTACAAAAAAGATTATTCGTATGTTTTATGATAAAAATTAGTTGTTAGGGTTTTAAGGTAAGAAGTTAATTTATAATAATTTATTATTATAAATATTTATAATATTATTGTAATTTATTATTACATAGTATTGTTTTATAGAAATTAACTATCATTTTAATATTATAAAATTATTATCCTTGGTATCAAGCTTCGAATAGTGATAATGCTTCGCATAATGAATATACAGGGTGAGGAAAAAAGATAGAAACCCTTAAAAGTCTCGAAAGATATAAATTTTACAGAAACGTGTTTCAGACAAAAGTTATAAAGTTCGGAACGATGTATTTACTGATCTTATCAGTTTGACCTTGAGCGGTGTTGTCAGGTCAAGGTCAACTTATTTTTTTTAACAGAAACCCCTATTTTTTATTATCTTTTATCATCTTTTTCTATCAATTAATTTTAATAATTTTTCTCTGAAACATTTTTTTATTTGCCTAATATTTTTTGAGGTATTTAAAGAAAATTTGGGAAATTTTTCAATATTTAACTTACGATATCTCGCCAACTATTTGTCGGAAGAAAAAATACTATTAGACTTCTTTACTCTATTTGGTCTTAAGAATATATTGTTACAATAGCACCCTGACTTTTGTTAATTTGATGACTTTGAAATTTCCAAAAGTTCATAAGTTAACAAAAGTTAGGGAACTATCATAACAATATGTTCTTGAGGTCAAATAAAGTAAAAAAGTCTAGTACCATTTTTCCCTCCAACAAATATTTCGAGCGAGATATCGGAAGTTAAGTATTGAAAAAGTCATCAAGTTTTTCTTAAATCTCAAAACATATTAGGTAAATAAAAAATGTTTCGGACAAAAGTTGTTCAAATTAATTGGTAGAAAAAAATGTTAAAAGATAAAAATAAGGATTCCTGTTTATAAAAAATAAGTTGACCTAGACCTGACCTTGGCAACGCCACTCAAGATCAAACTGATAAGATCAGTAAATACATCGTTTTAAATCTTATAACTTTTGTCTGAAACACTTTTCTGTAAAACTTATATCTTTCGAGATTTTTAAGGGTTTCCATCTTTTTTCCTGGATGTATACGTACAGATACGTAAAAAATATATAATTTTAATAATTTTAATAACAAATTTTTTTTAATTTGATAGAATGCCGGATTATTCCAGAATTCATCTTAATCATTATTAATTACAATCACTTTTTCTCGCAACCCCAAGAATGTTTTTCGCACCCCTAGGGGGTGCGAGCATCTCCGGTTGGGAACCCCTGCTCTAATTGTCCGTTCTTAAAAGGTAGACCCTTCTCCGATCTTGCCTTGTCTGAAAGCGAGCGACGGACGGCTCGATTGGAAAGCCGTGGAAAGACCAAGCGACGCGACGCGACGCACCTCGTCCAGCGGGGCGAGCGAAGGTCCTTTCGTACTTCATGTCGCTGCGAGAGACCGCTACCCTCGATTTAATTTCAAGTTTACGGCCGCTCGCGCCGGCCGGATGAGGAGGGCTTTGTCGCCGGCCGCGCGAACTTTAATAAAGTCGGCGGCCGCGCGAAAAGGCACAAGCGTTAAGCTCACTCGATGAACGAACGCAGGTAGCTCCGGGAGCACTCGGACCATTTCCTCGTCGCGTGCATGTCGCCGGGGTGCATCACCGTGGTCTCCGCGTGTCCGTCGGCGCGATAAACTATACCGGGGCAGCCGTTCTCCCGTCGCACGTCATGGGACATGCCCAGGCTAGCGGTGGTAATGAGGAGAAGGAAATCGGCTTCTCGGGGGGAGTGGAATATTTATCGGGGCACGCGCGCCGCGCCGGCTTTCGCTCTTGAAAAGCATCGCTCGAGACGCGCGAGGCGAGGAGCCGCTTCATACATTAAACAACGCCCTCGACCGTGACTTATTTACGACGACGCCACGGCATACCATTATTTCCACTCCCGGCCGAAGAAACGGTCTTTTAGGAATTTATTTCGAGCTTCCTTGTCTGTTTTCCTTACTTTCCTCGCCCTCGCTCCTCTCCGCCGTCAAGCGCGCAGAAAGCGGTCAGGAGCAGTTATCGACGGCTATCGAGAGGATGACTGCTGATATTTTGCGATATTTCCTCAGAAATGAGGATGTGCGCGAATCATCAGCCGCCGCCATCGCGCCGGAGAGTGTCGCGTTAACGTTATAAAAATTTCTTTAGCTATTTCGCGCGGTACCGTAGGGTTATACGCGAGATTAAAAGGGGACACTTGTACACGCACACACATATACAAGGTGAGGAAAAAGTATGAAAACCCAGGAGAATCTAAAAAAATATAAGTTTCACAGAAAAATGTTTCGGATAAAAATTGTAGGGTTTAAAAAGATTTACGGATGCTATCAGTTTGACCTTGGATGTCGTCGCCAAGGTCGTGAGAAGATCAAGTGAAATTTTTTAAACGTAACTCGTACTTTTTTATTATATATTTTTATAGCCCTTGTTGAGACGCGTTCGGAACATTATAATAAGGCTTCCTTTGGTTAAAAATTTTGTCTGAGATATTTTAAAATTCAGCCGTGAAAACAACTGATTTTGAGTAGCTCTCTAATTCTTTGTTCTCAAAAGGTAGATCCTTCTTCGATTTTGTCTCAAATGGTCGGATTCTCCTCTTTTACTTTATGAGATATTTTGTATTTTATATTAAAAACTATTATGACAAATATTAAAATATCTCAGAAAATTCTTAATCAAAAGAAGTCTTATTATATTGTTACGAAAACGTTTCAACAAAGGCTATAAGAATATGCAATAAAAAATTTGTGATCACGTTTAGAAAATTCCATTTGACTTTGTCCTGACCTTGTCCCGACGCCAAGACGAGGACAAGTGGAGATTCAAGATCAAATTGGTAACATCAGTAAATAAATATTTTTAAATCTTACCGCTTTTATCCGAAATACTTTTCTGTAAAACGTATATCCAGATCTTTCAGGGTTTCCATATTTTTTCCTCATCCTATGTGTGTGTGTGTGTGTGTGTGTGTGTATTAGGCGACCAAAAAAGTTCGTGTAGTTTTGCGTACTAAAAATTAAACCAAGAGAATTTTCGAAAGAAAGTCTTATAACTGATATATGAATAAATAATTGACAATTCCTCATTATCAACAACGGAGGTTCTTCTTGAACGCATCCTCGAGTGATTCATTGCCGGGAGAAATATTTTTAAACTACTTCCATACAGCCTGTTCATCTTCTCCAAGTGTTACGCATATCTCACGACATGCTTCTTGCAGCTTTCAACCCGAGTTTAAATTCACAAAGTAAAATGCTCGAATTACACTTCAACAGACATTTTAAAAGAATGAATAATCGCGAATCGAGAGACCGTGCCACGAAAAAGTTGACCAATCACGCGCGGCCGATGAGTTTCAACAAGACTCGACGGATCATTGCATCGAATTCAGAGAGAAACCGCATCAACTTTTCCCGTCACCTGATGTACACGAAAATCCCACGAATCGTGCCGGCGTTGGCAGTGGCACAATTCGTAATTACGCGGGCATTTTTCGTCGGCCTCATCTAATCGGATCGGGCCGGATGAAACGAATTACACGCTTACGTGTGGCCTATCTGATGAGCAATGTGATAACCGGTCGGCAGGCCGGCGTCTCTCACAATGGCCGCGCCTCTCGTAGGATCACACGTCCCGGCAATCGTGGACGTCCCGGTGAAGCCGCAGAGATCACGAGAGACGCAGATGTCTAGCCTGGCGGGGGAAGTCGTGAGCAGGTCGTGAAAAGGGCGAGCGCTGGTAATCTCGAGATTAGATTGAATCTCCCATCGGTGGAATTGCCTGTAGGATTGGCGTACTTGCTAATGAGAAGCGCGCAATCGTGGTGATTCGGATGAGAATCGTCGGCGGGATTCATGCTACGCTGCCATTCTTGGAAACGCCTCAACGTCGTACCCGCGTCTTGGCTCATCGACAGATTCATCTGCAACAACGTTCGTGATCGATTAAGAGAGCTGAGAGCGCGCGTGTACGTCGCGTGTGTAAATTACGGGACCGTCCGCGGACATATTAAAGAGCGAGCCTTCTCGTTTTCTCTCGGCCACGACGAGTTACGATCATTAGGCGCGTCGTCGGCCTCAATAGCGTATCCCTGCGCTCCCCGAAGCGTGGGACGCTTCCTTTGGAGTTGGAAAGGTGCGCTTTTACCTCGTTTTCCTCCACCTCCAGCCTGATAATCCTCACTATAGCCAGCTGCATGTGCACGCCCAGACTGGCGTCGTGAAACAGACCCGCGGCCTGTGAGAGAGAAACTTCCTTCAGATCTTTCCGTTCGCTTGGAAAATTCCTGCCGAGGCTCTCTTATGTAACTCGCCATGTTGAAGAGCGTCAGTACGTAATTCTCGACGTCGAACTTTCTGTGATAATCCAGCAGAGACTTGTCCAACACGATCAGCAGCTCCAACGTGTACGACTTGGCCCTGTTCGGTTTCGCGAGCGCTCTCTTACGAGGATTCGGCGAGCGCTTGGCGATGACCCTGGTCGTATCGACGCTGACGTCGCAGAGGTCCCGCGCGACGCTGCCGAGGCGCTCAGACTCGCCTGGACTTCCTTTGTATACGATATGCGGCTGCTCCGCTTCTTTGGTGAAGTCATGCCCAGCTATCGGCTCAATCATGTACCACGCGCTCCTCGTCTTGATATATCCGGCCTGAGGGATTAAATATTACGACGCTGGCTGGTAGTTCCTGAAAATTCCCGGCCGACCTACTCGCGTCGGAGAGAGAGGCGGCGTTCGACTTGTACCTTTTTCGCCGATTTTCCACCCCCCGCTAAGCGCTCCTCCCAGATCCTCTGAGAGAAGCATCTTCGATGATAAAACGCATCGCTGCGCTCATGAAGTCGCTCGCAACTTCATGTTCGTTTTTAACGGTCAAATGGCTTTGTATCGGCGGACAGTGACTTGTAAACGTATTAGATACCTAGATGCAAAAATTTCAGTGTTTTTTTCAGCCCTCTAATGTAATTATCTTAAATTGAAATATTATTCCGTTTTAAATTGAAATATTGTAGTTGTTTTGTGTTTGTAAGGTTGGTATTGAACTTTCTAAAACGTCATTCATTATGATTCATTGGTGCACACAACGTTTCGCATATCTCATCAAATACACAAAAGGACTTTTTGCTGTTAATATTTGGTTTCGCCACTGGTGTAGAAGGCTGCATTTAGAATTATCATACATAATCCACTTTTCATCGCCGGTAACAATTTTTGGCAAAAAATCTTTCTCACGCTGTCTGGAAAGCAATGAAACGTGTGTGCTCAACCGGCGGATAATGCTGTTTTGCGACAATTCACGCAGCACTCATTTTCCGAGTTTCCGAGTTTTTCCTATTTCATGCGGTCGTCTTGAAACTGTTGCTCGGTCAACTCCGAGATATTCTGCAAGTTCTTCTTGCCTTTGGGACGGGTTTTCATTCAACGACGCTTCCAAAACGTCGGCCTTAAGCTTTTGTGGCATTCCCGAGCGAGGACGATCACGCGCGTCAAAATCATCCACGATTTAAAGCGACGATTTGCTAATATTTGCATTATTTTGAGATATAAAATTTTCCGCAAGAATAGAACAAATGGATTCACATGCATTTGGCAGCATCTTTTTCCTGCTGGAATTCATATCGAATGCGATGTAGAATATAAAATTTTTCGCCGCTCATTGTATCAACAAAATATAAGGTGATCCACCTACAGGTGTAGGATTTATTTTGTAAATAAAGCAATGAAATTATCTGTAAGTGATCATTTTTATTACACCGATGTGTTCGTTAGAAATGGGAGTTATGTAAGAAAAACAATATCATATAAATGATGTAAATGATCGCCTCTATTTTTTTTACAAATTACTACTCATTCAGCAGAGTTTTCAATAATCTTTTGCAACATAAAAGGAATTTCGTCAATTTCTCGTCGAATATTTTCCTTTGAGCGCTCCGTAGTTTCAGGATTATCGGTGTAAACTCGTTCCTTCAGATAACCCCAAAGGGAATAGCCCAGAGGTGTCAAGTCGTAAGATCTTGGGGTCAGTTGACGTCATCATTCCGTGAGATAACGCGAAATTTCTCATGCAATAACTGCATGGTTTCACGAGCTGCGTGACATGTCGCACCATCTTGTTGAAACTACATGTTGCTCATGTCAATATCATCCAGACTTGGCCATAAAAGGTTGGAGATCATGTCGCGATATCGTTCAGCATTGACAGTGACAACTTTTCCGGCCTCATTTTTGGAGAAATATGCCTCAATGACATTTTTAACTATTGCAACTCGTACAAGCACAGGCTTATCGCAAACTAAACTCTCGTTCTCAAATTTTTTAGTCAACTTGCGAATTGTATCGTTAAATGGGAAATGTTTTCTTTCAACAAAATTGCAAAGTTTGCGTTATCGAATGCTGATTTTCGCGCTACTGTGCGAATTTAAATCATTCACTTCTTGTTGGACCACCCTGCATTATTTTCAAGGTTATGTGTGCCAATAAATCATAATGAATGGCGTTTTAGAAAGTTCAACACCAGCCTTACAAAAATGCAAAACGGTGGGTAGATATTTCAATTTAAAATAATTACATCAGAGAGCTGAGGAAAGGACTAAAATCTTTGCATTCACCTAAGGGAGAATTCACACTTGGGGAAAAAAGCAGAAAGCAGAAAGGCAGAAACCAATCAGAATTCTCGCTGGTAGTCTATCTCTCTCTCAAGAGACAGACAGACTATCTGATTGGATACTTTCTGCTTTCTGCTTTTCTGCCCAAGAGAAGATTCACACTTGGACAGAAAAGCAGAAAGCAGAAAGGCAGCAGCCAGTCACAAATGGCGCTGATAGTCTGTCTCTCTCTCTTGTGAGAGTTTTTCTCTCTGTCACTCTCTTGGCTTCTGCTGTTCTTCTTTCTGTTTTTCTGCCCAGGTGTGAATGCGCCCTAAGTGTGAATCCTCCCTAATAAATGAAGGCGCGATGCTCAACACGGAAACATGAAGCAAAGTTCCCTCCTGCGGCCTGTCCGCAGAAGTGAGCCTCAATTCGTCAGAATCGTCGCGAGTCATTCAAACCATTGCTGATCAATCAAACGACATTCAGTCATGACTAACGAGTCCATAGCAGGTGGAGAGAGCGCTCTCTTCCGAGTGGTTGCGCACGCGGGCCCGATAATGGCACTGCGTGTCCCGCACCCTCCTCAACGTCATGTCCTGGAAAAATTGTCGCGACCCTCGGTATTCCTCGACCACCGCGCCCGGGCCGAGGAGCCGGTGATTCGGGCGGAGCTCGACGTGATGCTCCTCGTGGCCGATTCGCAGTCGGTAGTGCACGGCGTCGTCGACTTCGTTCTCGGCTGCCGTGCGGTTTCGGTAGAAAGAACGGCCGAAGTGATGAGGGATCCGGTGAGACACGAAGCTCCCATCCGACCTGACCTTCCGCGGTATCACGAGCTCCTGCTCATCCGGCAGGTCGGCGGCGCGCGTGTAGCGCCCTTGAGGAGGAATTTCAACGAGTTTGTTAAGGAATAGGGAGACGGAGTACAAGCTATAGCGAGGTAACACGTCCGCAGCGAGGGAGAGCTGCCATATTTGTTTCTCCTATTGCGCTCGACTTAACGCTTCGGTGCATTTGTAACGTCAAGTAGACCACAGCTTTAAAATCAAATTTAAACCGGTGTCTAGAGTCGGATCTTATATTTATAATTGTCTTAAGTTCATTTTTAGATGCTGCACGGATCGTTTTATTGGCTAGGAAGTATCTGAGAATAAATTTAAGCCAATCTTAAATATGAAACTTACATATGAATATCGCTCATAAAATTATAAAAAATAATATTATATATTGTTTTACATTTAATTTTTTATTCAGTACCTTTTAATAAATAAAAGTACAATAAATGATAATATAATGAATCTTTGGACATTTCTAAATATTTTAAATATTTAGATGTTTTATCTTATATACTAATTTGTTATTGGACACCTTGGCATTATACACTTAAACATTTTGCCATAAAATATCAATTTTCATAATTTATATCCCAATCTCTTAGTCACAACATTTCACAGACATGTGTCTATGTGTAAATTGGTAGAAACTGATATGGCGGAAATAATTTCTCCCGCATGTCTGAGTTTACACCTTTCTCGCCCAAATAGTGCTTTTAGACTCCGTTCCTCTATTTCTTATGCCCAATTTCTTCACCCCTAACCTAGATAAGTTGTCGATAACTTTATCCATGAGATATCTCCCAGAATCGCTTTTCTTCACCTTTGTAAAGTTTGTATCCGGCAGATAAACTTATCCAGTACCTGAAGTAACGGATATCTGACAGATATTGATTTCAGTGCCCTGACATAATCTAAAAATCACAAGAATACGTAATCGCTGCTGTTTTTATGAAAATACAAACATAATAATGGATTTGTTGCTCATGGATATTATACTGGATATTTATGAATCTGATGATAATGATGATGATGATGGTGGTAAGTTTGTAAAAAGAGGGCGAGGCAAATTTCCCGAAGCAGCATTAAATTCGTTGTAATTCTTTTCTCAAGCTTCATTTTTATCTTTCTACGTTGTTCCATCGGTTCTTTTATTTTCGACAATATGTTCATATTTTAATGTAATGTTAACAAATCAATTTCAGTTTTTGAAAATTTGTTTCCTTTTTTTTCCTGCTCCATTGAACCAGATGATTGTTTTCCCGACATTTTTGAAAACAGTTAACCGAAAATATTTATTTTCGCAAAATATAATCTCACTTGAAAGGAATATGTTGGTTGGTTGGTCGTAGAACTGGCCCAGGGAAGAATACGTCGCTGGCAAAATATGATAATTCATAGTACATTTCTAATACATTTTGTGTCGAAAGTTAGTAGTATGAAGAATAGCTATCCGTTAGATATGTAACCAGAGTAAAGGCCATCACGCACAAATGAACGTAAGCAGTAAAGAAACTGACCAATCACAACCAATTATTCTCGTAAGTTTTAAAATGGCGTCTTTAAATTTCGACTGTGATTGGTCGATTTGCTTACTGCTTACGTCTTACTGCTTAAGTTCGTTTGTGTATGATGGCCTTTACAGAGTTAGACACGTAACCTTTCAGTGAAGAAAACGAATTTTTAGTTACCTGACGGATATCTTTATCTGGAAGATACTTCTTATTGGGAGGTGTGAAGAAACCGGGCATAAGTCCAAGGTTTGTCATTGTTTGG